AAATTCGACAGAAATACAACCACAATGTTGAATATGAGTTGTTTTCTTGTCTAACCGAAACTACAAGTGTTAAACACAGTGGTTTAGATACGTCCCGTCCCCTCCCCTTAAATGGTAACAGTTTCAGAGCAGAAACCAGATCAAAAAGAAAAACAGGACAGTAAAAATACATCCATTCATAGGCCATGAATATAAAAAATGTTTTAACAATAGTAAAACAAAATTTCTTTTCTTTCATCTAGCCGTAAACTGCCATCAGGTTTGAAAGGGAAAATTTCAAACTTCCCTGGGTTCGGTCGTGTTGTTTTGTTTTCATTTGTTTATATTTTTATGAATGATACAGTTCACCATTACATGTAGTATTCTGTATAGAAAATACCACATTGAAATAAGAAGCTAAAATAATATAGTGATAGTCGTATTCCAGCTAAAATTATCCCATCCACGTAAAAAAAAACGGATTTTTCTCTACTAGGCCTATTACTGTTTTCTTTATAGATATCTATATCTTAACGCCACGAATGAAGATATTTTTTTCAAGAAAATCCGGGCTAAAAATAAACCTGACACAACACTGTTATTAAATGTTTTCGCGCCACGTTAACTTTCTGTCAGCTGTTGTTATTGTTGTAAGAGAAAATATCGATTTTGTCTTTCTTATAAAAATTTAATTTCGTATAATTTTAACACAGTTAAAACACCACTTTCTCCCCACCCACCGTAGTTAGACATGAAATTCTAACAATGAACTACACGGCGACCTAAAGCAATAAATCCTGTTGGTGGTGGTAGGTACGTCAAGGGCGGCTAACTTTTTCGTTTTTTTTTTTGTTGTCGTATTTGGTGTCCGGAAATTCCGTGGTTAGATTTTGGTTAATTTTGGAGGATTGTTAATTTTTGTAAAGCGACAGTTCATTCCCAGGTTATTTAATTAAAAAAAAAAAGATCTATGATGAAGGAACGTGATATACTAATTATTTAGTTCAATATTTAATTAACTTAAGGCTTGTTGTTAATTAACTCTGTGTTATTTGCTTCTGGCTACTGCGTTAGGTCTGGTTTACGAGAGTTAAAGAATGGGTTAGAGTTAGGGATCAGGGCTAGAGTTAGGGATGGGGGTTAGAGTCAGGGATGGGGGTTAGAGTTGGGGATGGGGGTTAGAGTTAGGGATCAGGGTTAGAGTTAGGGATCGGGGTTAGAGTCAGGGATCAGGGCTAGAGTTGGGGATCAGGGTTAGAGTCAGGGATGGGGGTTAGAGTCAGGGATCGGGGTTAGAGTTAGGGATGGGGGTTAGAGTTAGGGATGGGGTTAGAGTTAGGGATGGGGTTAGAGTCAGGGATCGGGGCTAGAGTTGGGGATCAGGGTTAGAGTTGGGGATCAGGGTTAGAGTCAGGGATGGGGGTTAGAGTCAGGGATGGGGGTTAGAGTTAGGGATAGGGATCAGGGTTAGAGTCAGGGATGGGGGTTAGAGTCAGGGATGGGGGTTAGAGTTAGGGATGGGGGTTAGAGTCAGGGATGGGGGTTAGAGTTAGGGATGGGGGTTAGAGTTAGGGATCAGGATTTCTTCCTGACTTTTGGTTAAACAGCCAATAAAGTTATTTTACAGTCTAGACGTCTGGTTACAACAGCCACACAATAAAGCTGTCCTATAGTCTAGTTAAAATAGGCTCACCATCAAGTGGTAGACCAACACGAGTGTGAGCATTACTTGACCCAGATCACTCAGCACACGTTATCAGGACTGTCCACAGTTGACCCCGTCCACAGTTGACCCTGTCCACACACTGGGTTAGCACCTTCCATTGTGTGTACCAGCACAGGATCGGAATAATAAGGAATATTTTCTTGTATAGGAAGCTAGAATGATATCGATATGATTTAAATACGGCTCACCCAGTTACTATAGACTCAGCTTTTATCAACAGCAACGTTCTCACATCACACATCTTTTGGTGAGCGCTCATCAACGATGTACGTGCAGAAACCAAACAGGACCGAGACCTAGGCCACAGATCACATACATAGGTGTCACCTAGTGAGGAGACTCATGGTGTTCTCCCCCCTCCCCCCACCACGAAAGGAAAAATGCATATATATATATATATATATATATATATATATATATATATATATATATATATATATATATATATATATATATATATATATATATAAGCATTAAATCTTTAAAGGGTTCACAGTTAGTAGTAAAGATGATTATGTAAGTCAATTATTTTTTTCTTTGGTTAGTATGTTTATGTTATGGTGTCACCCCCCCCCCCCCAAACACCTTCCCTTAACCCTTATCGCGATCGTCGATTTGTACTTGAAATACTTTTAAAAACTCTAATTAATCAATTATTGTTGCACATGCAAAAATATTTGTTTTATATATTTTGCATTTTTTTTTGTCTTGGTGTCACCCGGTGCGGTCCGCTACCCCCGCCTCGCGACGCCTCTGTGTGTAGGTGTTGCAAGATACCAAACCATGCGTGTAGGTGTTACTACATACCAAACCATGCGTGTAGGTGTTACTAAATACCAAACCATGCGTGTAGGTGTTACTAAATACCAAACCATGCGTGTAGGTGTTACTAAATACCAAACCATGCGTGTAGGTGTTACTAAATACCAAACCATGTGTGTAGGTGTTGCATTATTGGACGGATAAAATTGTTTCGCTGCTACTGCCCCTCCATTGGTGCTGTCTCCTCCCTAGGGGTCGCCATGATGCCAGATGGTAGCATCACACAGTACCGGCAACACAATTCAAGCATCACACAGTACCGGCAACACAATTCAAGCATCACACAGTACCGGCAACACAATTCAAGCATCACACAGTACCGGCAACACAATTCAAGCATCACACAGTACCGGCAACACAATTCAAGCATCACACAGTACCGGCAACACAATTCAAGCATCACACAGTACCGGCAACACAATTCAAGCATCACACAGTACCGGCAACACAATTCAAGCATCACACAGTACCGGCAACACAATTCAAGCATCACACAGTACCGGCAACACAATTCAAGCATCACACAGTACCGGCAACACGATTCAAGCATCACACAGTACCGGCAACACAATTCAAGCATCACACAGTACCGGCAACACAATTCAAGCATCACACAGTACCGGCAACACAATTCAAGCATCACACAGTACCGGCAACACAATTCAAGCATCACACAGTACCGGCAACACGATTAAAGCATCACACAGTACCGGCAACACAATTCAAGCATCACACAGTACCGGCAACACAATTCAAGCATCACACAGTACCGGCAACACAATTCAAGCATCACACAGTACCGGCAACACAATTCAAGCATCACACAGTACCGGCAACACAATTCAAGCATCACACAGTACCGGCAACACAATTCAAGCATCACACAGTACCGGCAACACAATTCAAGCATCACACAGTACCGGCAACACGATTAAAGCATCACACAGTACCGGCAACACAATTCAAGCATCACACAGTACCGGCAACACAATTCAAGCATCACACAGTACCGGCAACACAATTCAAGCATCACACAGTACCGGCAACACAATTCAAGCATCACACAGTACCGGCAACACAATTCAAGCATCACACAGTACCGGCAACACAATTCAAGCATCACACAGTACCGGCAACACAATTCAAGCATCACACAGTACCGGCAACACAATTCAAGCATCACACAGTACCGGCAACACAATTCAAGCATCACACAGTACCGGCAACACAATTCAAGCATCACACAGTACCGGCAACACAATTCAAGCATCACACAGTACCGGCAACACAATTCAAGCATCACACAGTACCGGCAACACAATCCAAGCATCACACAGTACCGGCAACACAATTCAAGCATCACACAGTACCGGCAACACAATTCAAGCATCACACAGTACCGGCAACACAATTCAAGCATCACACAGTACCGGCAACACAATTCAAGCATCACACAGTACCGGCAACACAATTCAAGCATCACACAGTACCGGCAACACAATTCAAGCATCACACAGTACCGGCAACACAATTCAAGCATCACACAGTACCGGCAACACAATTCAAGCATCTTTCTTTGTTTACTACGTATTTTTACGTGCTGCAGATTTCATAAATCCACAAACATTCCTGCTATCTCAAGGTCGCAGATTTTCGTGTTCCCCCCCCCCCTCCCTCATCCCCGGTGTCGCTCGCTGTACCACGCTGCTTGCTCTAAAAATAGTAACACAACTAGTAAACAGAATAGCGAAGTGTTGAGGGGGTGGGGTTGGGGAAGGGGGGGGGGAGCTACTTATCTGTAACGTCGGTCCGAGTCAGTATAGTCCTTTCATATTCTAATAATTGGTGAAAAAATAACGTAATTATGGTTAATTAATTAATTAATGTTGTGGGCAGGGAAAGGAAGGTACTTGGACCATACTAATTTTTAAAAAAAAATGTATTCTGTAAGTGTAAGCAAAGTTCATGGCGCTATAGACTAGCTAAATGTAAACAAAACTAAGGTCACCAAAAATTGACCCCGGTATTATAAGTAGGGTCGATCTAATGGGAGGCTGAGTACGAGGCAGACTTGGTCCCTTAATTATTTGACTGACTCCGCCCCCCCCCCCCCCCTCTCAATTTATGTTTCTGCAAATTGAAAAAATAACAATAATTTTTTAAAAAATGTGTATGGTATATCAGTAATATTACGCGAGGGTCGGAAAAACTTGAAGACCGAGAGCCCTTACAATACGCGAGCGGGTCTTTTGCTGGTAAAAAAAATAAACTTTCTTAGTTTGTGTAAGCTTATTTGTAATTTCGGGAAACCCCGGTACAAGCTAGTGAAAACAGACACTTGACATGGGTGATAGGAAGGGGGGGGGGGGGGTCGAAAGACGCCGGCGGCTTTAGGTAACGGCCTGACATAGAAGATAAAAATAGAACATTATTCAGACGAGATCAAATTCAGACGACAAAACAAAAAAGTCAGGAATTTCCAACTATGGAACAGTTGTAATCAGACTGAGTCGGGCGAAGTTTTTATTTTTTTTCGGGAAAATCCTTTGTAGCACGCGCTGAGAGCTGAGCTTCCTCTTGGAAGGCTATATAAACATTGTCATACAGCCAGTCAACAAAGGGAGACGAGTTACTCGAGCAGGAGTAGATGAGATAATCAGACATAAACAGTGAGGACTTAACAACACACAGTTGAGGTAATCGTCGTTTTCTTAGCCTCGGCTCTAACTTATTAATTATTTCGATTATCGCAACGATCTTCAGTTTTATCAGTTGATATTATCTTCGGTTGTGGTGTTTATAAAATTACCGTTTGTGATACACCGCTTATATACGCTACTCGTGTAACTAAAGAAAAAGCGAACACAACCAGTTAGTCTGATTGCGGATAGCTAATCAATTACTGCTAAATAAACTTCGTCGATACACCATAATAGTTTAAAAACAAAGTCTAATGAAAACAAACGGTTTCATTGTTTCGTAAAAAGGAAAATATTGAATTATCTTACGTCAATTTTAAATATTTTAAATTTTAATGTATTTTTAACATTGAAAATTGAAATTTCCAAATTCAGCAGGTAATTGATTATAATTGTTTAAGGACGATTAATTGCTAAACTTAATAGAAAGTTCGAAATCGTAGATTAGCAATTAATCAATAATAATGTATATGTACAATGTTTAACTTTTAAGTACCCACATTTTACGACAATTTTTAACTTTTAAGTACCCAAATTTTACGACAATTTTTACTTTCTCGTATATACGTAGTATAGAGAAAGTATTGTAATCGTGCAAAAAAAAAAAAATCGAGATTTTTACAAATCTCGACGTTTTACACCTCACTGATACGGAAAAACATAATTTTGCAATCTTGTCCGTATGTCTGTGTGTGTGTGTGTCTGTCTGTCTGTCTGTCTGTCCGTGTGTAAACACGATAACTTGAGTACCGTTACAGCTAGGTTGATGAAATTTCATATATAAGTATTTTATCAAAATCGTAGATCCGTATCAACTTTTGAGCGATTTCCGATAACCGGAAGTGGTACTTTTCCTACTTTGAATTTTTCAAAAGCCTATAACTTGAGTACTATTTCAGATAGATAAATGAAATTTCACATGTAAGTAAAAGATCTAATTCTCTACCTTCTGTTAAATTTTGAGTAATTTCCGTTGACTGGAAGTAGTAATTTACGCTACTTCCGATTTCTCAAAAAAACTAATGTAAATTTTTAAAGTACTAATAATATTGCGCACTATTATACGCGTTTTTATTCGGCGTTTGCTTGGTGCGCAATGTTTTTTTTATGAGATTCTATTCTATTTTTAAAAGTTTAAGTATTTAAAATGGATTAAAAATCATAACTATATCCCCAGTTACCATCCCCTGTTGTTTTATATAAGAATATTCGAGAAAGTTTAGGGGAGATCACTACCGGTTTATTAACTTTTAGGTTGCCACATTTTACGACAATTTTTAACTTTTCAGTTCCCTAATTTTACAACTATGTCTAATTTTTTTACAGCCTCTGTTTTCAAACGACGTCTTGTTTTTACTTTCTCGTATATACGTAGTATAGAGAAAGTATTGTAATCGTGCAAAAAAAAAAAAATCGAGATTTTTACAAATCTCGACGTTTTACACCTCACTGATACGGAAAAACATAATTTTGCAATCTTGTCCGTATGTCTGTGTGTGTGTGTGTCTGTCTGTCTGTCTGTCTGTCCGTGTGTAAACACGATAACTTGAGTACCGTTACAGCTAGGTTGATGAAATTTCATATATAAGTATTTTATCAAAATCGTAGATCCGTATCAACTTTTGAGCGATTTCCGATAACCGGAAGTGGTACTTTTCCTACTTTGAATTTTTCAAAAGCCTATAACTTGAGTACTATTTCAGATAGATAAATGAAATTTCACATGTAAGTAAAAGATCTAATTCTCTACCTTCTGTTAAATTTTGAGTAATTTCCGTTGACTGGAAGTAGTAATTTACGCTACTTCCGATTTCTCAAAAAACTAATGTAAATTTTTAAAGTACTAATAATATTGCGCACTATTATACGCGTTTTTATTCGGCGTTTGCTTGGTGCGCAATGTTTTTTTTATGAGATTCTATTCTATTTTTAAAAGTTTAAGTATTTAAAATGGATTAAAAATCATAACTATATCCCCAGTTACCATCCCCTGTTGTTTTATATAAGAATATTCGAGAAAGTTTAGGGGAGATCACTACCGGTTTATTAACTTTTAGGTTGCCACATTTTACGACAATTTTTAACTTTTCAGTTCCCTAATTTTACAACTATGTCTAATTTTTTTACAGCCTCTGTTTTCAAACGACGTCTTTTTTTTTTTGTTGTTGTATATACAGCATCTGTCATCAAACATATTGTTCTTGTATATACAGCATCTGTCATCAAACATATTGTTCTTGTACTTACAGTATCTGACATCAAACATATTGTTCTTGTACTTACAGCATCTGTCATCAAACATTGTATGCCGCCTGGTGCCAGCTTGTTGGATGATACACCATCAGACAGACACAAACCCAGACCCCAGTACTGCGTAAAGCGAGAACCGCCGTGAAACATTCGAGATGGTCTTTGGACAAAGCTATAAAGTCTGGACCACAGAGCCAGACCGGTGTGGAAGGAGGTACAGGATCGATTACATCCCGTACGGAGGCAAGAGAAGACAACGGACGTCCATCTACCTCGGGATGAAGTTCCCCGAGGGTGGCGGGGAGACGGGTACGTCAAACGAATACGTAATCGTGAGGGAGAGGGGAGGGAGGGAATCGAAAAAGTGGGCGGAGCTACGCTGCAAGGCGACCCAAGACGCCCAAAAGATGGCCGACAAGTTCAACGCCTACAGCAGCCAGCTCCAGCACCGCGAGCAGGTGGAGATAGAGTTCCAGGACGTCAAGGTCGCCCGGAAGGTCAAGGACGAGCACGTGACATTCGAGGACAAGATCAGCAAATATCGGCATTTTATGGACGCGAAGGGGAAACTCAAGCTCACGAAGTTTAGGTAAGTTCATGCTCTGAATGTGGGTGTGTGTATAGAAACTGAGTCTACTCAGCCCTAATAGGTACTCATGCTCTATTTGAATGTATGTGTGTGTTGTAAGTACGAGAAACTGAGTCCACTCAGCCCTAATAGGTACTCATGCTCTATTTGAATGTATGTGTGTGTTGTAAGTACGAGAAACTGAGTCCACTCAGCCCTAATAGGTACTCATGCTCTATTTGAATGTATGTGTGTGTTGTAAGTAGGAGAAACTGAGTCCAATCAGCCCTAATAGGTACTCATGCTCTACTTGAATGTATGCGTGTGTGGTAAGGCTGTAAATAAGAGAAACTGAGTCCCCTCAGCTCTAATAGGTACCCGTGCATGACGTAAGCTTGCATCTAGGTGCAGTACCTAGTACACTGCTTGCCCAAGTCTAGCCCGGCTTTTCATGTAGACAACCACACAGTTGTTGAAGTGGATGGAAGGAAATTGTGTTTCCTTTTAGTCCAAACCACGGAGCAACGTGTAACAAACGAAGCTGGGACAGATAACACTCAAGCTACAGGCATAGCCACTCAAGTGTACACATTGTGTACAAAACATAACTTCCAGTATGTCGTGAGTGTCTGAGTGGTCTACGCCACTTAGAGGCCTGTGCTAAATGACAAGAGAACACGATGTAAAATTGTGTTATGTGTGTTGTACTCGTTCATTATTTAGTTGAGTCCAATTTTTCTTTCAACTTTTACAGATCCCTCTGTCGAAGTTTTTCAAACCTGCTCGGCGACCACAAACGCAAACGCACGTCATCGCAATCCTCTGACGTCACAGTCGACAAGTGTGACGTAGCCGACACGTTTGAAGAAGACGTCATCATCCCAGGACTACCACTGTACAGCTACGAGCCACCAACCTACGAACAAAGTCAGCTGGATGCTGCACTAGCCAATGGTTACATCACAATTCTAGACAACAACGACAGCAAGAGCCAACACTTCTGTAGTTCCGTAGCAAGCTCCGCCCCTGACGAAGAGTCGGAGTGCCGGTATAATCATGACGTAGACGAGGTATGTGACGTCAAGAGCGCCATGCTGCAGGCGTTCGTGCACTTCTACTTCTGCCACACACAGGGGAGGAGCGTCGTCTGCGACTTGAAAGGATCGTATGAGTGCAAGATCTTCACGCTGACCACCCCAGTCATCCACTCCATGACACAGAGCTACGGCGAGCAGGATCAGGGGCTGGAGGGGATGAGACACGTCATCAGAAACCACGTCTGTTCCAGGCTGTGTGACCACATGAAGGACATGAACACGCTGCTCACTGAAGCCATTGCACAGGAGGCTTTGGCCAAGCGGAAACAGAAAGTCTATCACCATCAGGCCCTAGCAACGAGATGCTAAGTCTGTGCAGACATTTTTAAACAGACACAACTGGCGTCTGTTGTCGTGGTACCGTTAGACGAACCTCCAGTATTAGACTAAATCACGCCTGGTATTACAAAACGCGCCATGATTACCTTCCGTATCAAAGCATCCGAAGTGAGCGACCAGCCAATGACAAACGCTGTGGCATATCACATGACACTAAGAGACCAATCAGATAGTCGTGTCTGTCTAACATTAACAAGACAGTAAACCCAGCCTCGTTTACCTACCACGGACTGAGGCAGCATATAATACCAATGTCTTTCACAAATAATACTTTCCATCGCATGAACTAGTTACTAGGTAAACTTACCACTAGTCAAACCTAGTCCATGAACAGACCAAAAACGTTGTCATTTTTTCAACAGGAAAACCTCGTACAAAACAATCAAGAGTGCTTTGGTTTTCTTGTAATTTCTTTTACACCCTGACTATAACCAACCAAATTCTTATGTACAGTATTATTTTACACATCCCCGGTGTTTTTATTCCACATGTATTCTTTTTATGACGTTATTTTATCAGCCATATCTGAGCTACGCTTTGTTTAGTTCATGACCAATAAATGTATATGAGATGTTAAATTTCAATGGTTTAGTTTTTACTTCACGTGTTGTATGTATGTCTCTAGATTGGCTTCATTCTTTCACCTAAAACTACAGTGGCTTGTTTTATGGTAATATACTTCCTCCGAGAAGAAATCAAGTTGTAAGTTTTGTTCTAGCCTTTTACCTCTAATGTGGTTCGTGTATTGACTAACGACTATCACAAATGAGATCATTTAGTAATAGTAAAGAGCCTGGTTTGTCGGACTCCCAAGTCCCCTACATAATAGCGTGGGGGAGGAGAGGTGCAAGATTGCCGGGAACCAAAAAGGGTTTGCTCTCGACCCTAACCAGATATCTTGACTTTAAGCTGCGGCCTTCACGTGGCTTCGGACGAGTGCCACTAGTTGGACCAAGCTCATGACCCCCCCCCCCCCTAATGGGTGCGGAATGGCTAGTGGTAGCCAACAGCAGCTAGAGGTTTTTGTCTGGCCGAGTAGAACTGCTGTATGCGCTAGGTTCAAAGAATGGCCGAACGCCCCCCACGATCAAGCTGGCTACCAGGCGGTAGGACGACGTCCCGCGTCTGGTGGGTGGGGAAGGAAAGCCCGGTGAGAGCCGACGGAAGTAGCTACCAATGTGTGGGAAACTCTAGTGGTCAGAGTTTGCTACACTGAGGCCTGCCTGGCTAATGGAAGTCAACCTTCTGAGCCGGTTTCCGTATAAGAAAGAAAGAAAGTAATAGTAAAATACGGCTCCTTTTTTACTTTCTCGTATATACGTAGTATAGAGAAAGTATTGTAATCGTGCAAAAAAAAATCGAGATTTTTACAAATCTCGACGTTTTACACCTCACTGATACGGAAAAACATAATTTTGCAATCTTGTCCGTATGTCTGTGTGTGTGTGTGTCTGTGTGTGTGTCTGTCCGTGTGTAAACACGATAACTTGAGTACCGTTACAGCTAGGTTGATGAAATTTCATATATAAGTATTTTATCAAAATCGTAGATCCGTATCAACTTTTGAGCGATTTCCGATAACCGGAAGTGGTACTTTTCCTACTTTGAATTTTTCAAAAGCCTATAACTTGAGTACTATTTCAGATAGATAAATGAAATTTCACATGTAAGTAAAAGATCTAATTCTCTACCTTCTGTTAAATTTTGAGTAATTTCCGTTGACTGGAAGTAGTAATTTACGCTACTTCCGATTTCTCAAAAAAACTAATGTAAATTTTTAAAGTACTAATAATATTGCGCACTATTATACGCGTTTTTATTCGGCGTTTGCTTGGTGCGCAATGTTTTTTTTATGAGATTCTATTCTATTTTTAAAAGTTTAAGTATTTAAAATGGATTAAAAATCATAACTATATCCCCAGTTACCATCCCCTGTTGTTTTATATAAGAATATTCGAGAAAGTTTAGGGGAGATCACTACCGGTTTATTAACTTTTAGGTTGCCACATTTTACGACAATTTTTAACTTTTCAGTTCCCTAATTTTACAACTATGTCTAATTTTTTTACAGCCTCTGTTTTCAAACGACGTCTTGTTTTTACTTTCTCGTATATACGTAGTATAGAGAAAGTATTGTAATCGTGCAAAAAAAAAAAAATCGAGATTTTTACAAATCTCGACGTTTTACACCTCACTGATACGGAAAAACATAATTTTGCAATCTTGTCCGTATGTCTGTGTGTGTGTGTGTCTGTCTGTCTGTCTGTCTGTCCGTGTGTAAACACGATAACTTGAGTACCGTTACAGCTAGGTTGATGAAATTTCATATATAAGTATTTTATCAAAATCGTAGATCCGTATCAACTTTTGAGCGATTTCCGATAACCGGAAGTGGTACTTTTCCTACTTTGAATTTTTCAAAAGCCTATAACTTGAGTACTATTTCAGATAGATAAATGAAATTTCACATGTAAGTAAAAGATCTAATTCTCTACCTTCTGTTAAATTTTGAGTAATTTCCGTTGACTGGAAGTAGTAATTTACGCTACTTCCGATTTCTCAAAAAACTAATGTAAATTTTTAAAGTACTAATAATATTGCGCACTATTATACGCGTTTTTATTCGGCGTTTGCTTGGTGCGCAATGTTTTTTTTATGAGATTCTATTCTATTTTTAAAAGTTTAAGTATTTAAAATGGATTAAAAATCATAACTATATCCCCAGTTACCATCCCCTGTTGTTTTATATAAGAATATTCGAGAAAGTTTAGGGGAGATCACTACCGGTTTATTAACTTTTAGGTTGCCACATTTTACGACAATTTTTAACTTTTCAGTTCCCTAATTTTACAACTATGTCTAATTTTTTTACAGCCTCTGTTTTCAAACGACGTCTTTTTTTTTTTGTTGTTGTATATACAGCATCTGTCATCAAACATATTGTTCTTGTATATACAGCATCTGTCATCAAACATATTGTTCTTGTACTTACAGTATCTGTCATCAAACATATTGTTCTTGTACTTACAGCATCTGTCATCAAACATTGTATGCCGCCTGGTGCCAGCTTGTTGGATGATACACCATCAGACAGACACAAACCCAGACCCCAGTACTGCGTAAAGCGAGAACCGCCGTGAAACATTCGAGATGGTCTTTGGACAAAGCTATAAAGTCTGGACCACAGAGCCAGACCGGTGTGGAAGGAGGTACAGGATCGATTACATCCCGTACGGAGGCAAGAGAAGACAACGGACGTCCATCTACCTCGGGATGAAGTTCCCCGAGGGTGGCGGGGAGACGGGTACGTCAAACGAATACGTAATCGTGAGGGAGAGGGGAGGGAGGGAATCGAAAAAGTGGGCGGAGCTACGCTGCAAGGCGACCCAAGACGCCCAAAAGATGGCCGACAAGTTCAACGCCTACAGCAGCCAGCTCCAGCACCGCGAGCAGGTGGAGATAGAGTTCCAGGACGTCAAGGTCGCCCGGAAGGTCAAGGACGAGCACGTGACATTCGAGGACAAGATCAGCAAATATCGGCATTTTATGGACGCGAAGGGGAAACTCAAGCTCACGAAGTTTAGGTAAGTTCATGCTCTGAATGTGGGTGTGTGTATAGAAACTGAGTCTACTCAGCCCTAATAGGTACTCATGCTCTATTTGAATGTATGTGTGTGTTGTAAGTACGAGAAACTGAGTCCACTCAGCCCTAATAGGTACTCATGCTCTATTTGAATGTATGTGTGTGTTGTAAGTACGAGAAACTGAGTCCACTCAGCCCTAATAGGTACTCATGCTCTATTTGAATGTATGTGTGTGTTGTAAGTAGGAGAAACTGAGTCCAATCAGCCCTAATAGGTACTCATGCTCTACTTGAATGTATGCGTGTGTGGTAAGGCTGTAAATAAGAGAAACTGAGTCCCCTCAGCTCTAATAGGTACCCGTGCATGACGTAAGCTTGCATCTAGGTGCAGTACCTAGTACACTGCTTGCCCAAGTCTAGCCCGGCTTTTCATGTAGACAACCACACAGTTGTTGAAGTGGATGGAAGGAAATTGTGTTTCCTTTTAGTCCAAACCACGGAGCAACGTGTAACAAACGAAGCTGGGACAGATAACACTCAAGCTACAGGCATAGCCACTCAAGTGTACACATTGTGTACAAAACATAACTTCCAGTATGTCGTGAGTGTCTGAGTGGTCTACGCCACTTAGAGGCCTGTGCTAAATGACAAGAGAACACGATGTAAAATTGTGTTATGTGTGTTGTACTCGTTCATTATTTAGTTGAGTCCAATTTTTCTTTCAACTTTTACAGATCCCTCTGTCGAAGTTTTTCAAACCTGCTCGGCGACCACAAACGCAAACGCACGTCATCGCAATCCTCTGACGTCACAGTCGACAAGTGTGACGTAGCCGACACGTTTGAAGAAGACGTCATCATCCCAGGACTACCACTGTACAGCTACGAGCCACCAACCTACGAACAAAGTCAGCTGGATGCTGCACTAGCCAATGGTTACATCACAATTCTAGACAACAACGACAGCAAGAGCCAACACTTCTGTAGTTCCGTAGCAAGCTCCGCCCCTGACGAAGAGTCGGAGTGCCGGTATAATCATGACGTAGACGAGGTATGTGACGTCAAGAGCGCCATGCTGCAGGCGTTCGTGCACTTCTACTTCTGCCACACACAGGGGAGGAGCGTCGTCTGCGACTTAAAAGGATCGTATGAGTGCAAGATCTTCACGCTGACCACCCCAGTCATCCACTCCATGACACAGAGCTACGGCGAGCAGGATCAGGGGCTGGAGGGGATGAGACACGTCATCAGAAACCACGTCTGTTCCAGGCTGTGTGACCACATGAAGGACATGAACACGCTGCTCACTGAAGCCATTGCACAGGAGGCTTTGGCCAAGCGGAAACAGAAAGTCTATCACCATCAGGCCCTAGCAACGAGATGCTAAGTCTGTGCAGACATTTTTAAACAGACACAACTGGCGTCTGTTGTCGTGGTACCGTTAGACGAACCTCCAGTATTAGACTAAATCACGCCTGGTATTACAAAACGCGCCATGATTACCTTTCGTATCAAAGCATCCGAAGTGAGCGACCAGCCAATGACAAACGCTGTGGCATATCACATGACACTAAGAGACCAATCAGATAGTCGTTTCTGTCTAACATTAACAAGACAGTAAACCCAGCCTCATTCAACTACCACGGCCTGAGGCAGCATAAAATACCAATGTCTTTCACAAATAAAACTTTCTATCGTATGAACTAGGTAAACTTACCACTAGTCAAACCTAGTCCATGAACAGACCAAAAACTTTGTCATTTTTTCAACAGGAAAACCTCGTACAAAACAATCAAGAGTGCTTTGGTTTTCTTGTAATTTCTTTTACTTTTACACCCTAACTATAACCAACCGAATTCTTATGTACAGTATTATTTTACACATCCCCGGTGTTTTTATTCCACATGTATTCTTTTTATGACGTTATTTTATCAGCCATATCTGAGCTACGCTTTGTTTAGTTCATGACCAATAAATGTATATGAGATGTTAAATTTCAATGGTTTAGTTTTTACTTCACGTGTTGTATGTATGTCTCTAGATTGGCTTCATTCTTTCACCTAAAACTACAGTGGCTTGTTTTATGGTAATATACTTCCTCCGAGAAGAAATCAAGTTGTAAGTTTTGTTCTAGCCTTTTACCTCTAATGTGGTTCGTGTATTGACTAACGACTATCACAAATGAGATCATTTAGTAATAGTAAAGAGCCTGGTACGTCGGACTCCCAAGTCCCCTACATAATAGCGTGGGGGAGGTGAGGTGCAAGACTGCCGGGAACCAAAAGGGGTCTGCTCTCGACCCTAACAAGATATTTTGACTTTAAGCTGCGGCCTTCACGTGGCTTCGGAAGAGTGCCACTAGTCGGACCAAGCTCATGACCCCCCTAGTGGGTGCGGAATGGCTAGTGGTAGCCAACAGCAGCTAGAGGTTTTTGATCTGGCCGAGTAGAACTGCTGTATGCGCTAGGTTCAAAGAATGGCCGAACGCCCCCCACGTCCCGCGTCTGGTGGGTGGGGAAGGAAAGCCCGGTGAGAGCCCACGGAAGTAGCGACCGATGTATGGGAAACTCTAGTGGTCAGAGTTTGCTACACTGAGGCCTGCCTGGCTAATGGAAGTCAACCTTCTGAGCCGGTTTCCGTATAAAAAAGAAAGAAAGAAAGTAATAGTAAAATACGGCTCATTTTTCAGACCTAATGATCCATAAGGCAGATGAAGTAGAGTTCGCGTATCTTGATCTCGGTATATGAGCAGATAGTGTTCACCCCAGCTAGTTAACTTTCCCAAAGTCATGTTATCTTCAGTGATGGGTGGACTCAAAGACGTTCTGCACACTCAAGTTCAGAGATTTGTACTCGAAACTTTCGGGTACGCAGTTGAGTGCTCTACCACCCAGTCCCGTGATTTATTAGAGACCCACAACACAACAACAAAAGGAAGACAGTTGAGCGAGGCCTAAAGACTTGTACACAATCTAATAGGGAACTAAAAAAAAACAAGCATGAACAAGGAAGCGAAACAAACAAGTTTCCCGCTGATCCCATGAGTCAAACACAAGATTAACACATTACTGGTAGGCCTCAACACTTAAAGTAGGGGATGTGGTGAGTGGTGTACAGTTGAGATAACGTGTAGACCCCAAATGGTGTAGAGTTGAGGTAACGTGTAGACCTCAACATTTGAAGTAGGGGATGTGATGAATGGTGTACAGTTGAGATAACGTATTAACTTCTCAAGTCTCAATAAAGGAAAAAAAAAAGACGAGGGTAAAAACGAGATCTATCCCGAGTACTGTCCGGACACGACTCATTGACTAGGGATGGAGCTCTTGACATCTTACATTGTGATGCGTGAATCACAACTGGTACATACCCCTCCGTCAGCCATGTGGTAACTGGTAGGCTACACAACTCTCCATGAAGTGAACCCGTTGACAAACATGAAGACCCCCCCCCCCCCCCCACAGCAAACAGTCAAATATCTGTACATGTAAGTGGTTGTGTAGTGTAATAGTACTAATAGTGTAAGTACTTTAGTATCTGTAACTGTAAGTAGTATATGTACATGTAAGTGACCATTTAAGTACTTAAGTATCTGTACATGTACTTTAGTATCTGTACATGTAAGTGGCAATGTAAGTACTTTAGTATCTGTACATGTAAGTACTTAAGTATCTGTACATGTAAGTACTTTAGTATCTGTACATGTAAGTGGCCATGTAAGTACTTTAGTATCTGTAAATGTAAGTACTTTAGTATCTGTACATGTAAGTACTTTAGTATCTGTACATGTAAGTGGCCATGTAAGTACTTTAGTATCTGTACATGTAAGTACTTTAGTATCTGTACATGTAAGTGGCCATGTAAGTACTTTAGTATCTGTACATGTAAGTGGCCATGTAAGTACTTTAGTATCTGTACATGTAAGTGGCCATGTAGTGTAAGCCCTACATCAGTACATGTAAGTGGCAAGTCTAACAGCTCTCAAGTACATGGACGTCAGCTAACATGACATGACAAGTGTGCCAACAAAAATGTCACTCCCTCCTGTTTACTAGAGCTACACAATTTCTAATTTAAAAAAAAAACAACTTGAAACATAAACACTTATCATGTAAAAAAAAAAAAGCTAACACATTTCAATCTAGATCTAGATAACAAAGAGAAGTTTGACAATTTTTTCCAACAATTTGTAAAATTTGTATAAACCAGAGACTGGACAAGCAAGCACCTAAATGACATAGAGATGCCATACTGTTACCATCTCGTCATTTGATTTACTGTTAACCTGAACACATTTTACTTGCCCGTCTACTGTGAATATGTAAAAAAAACTGTGTTGCAAGAAATAGAGAAACCTTGGAGAAAGAGGGAATCAGGCCTGAGAATCTCTCTACTACAGAGGAAGGAGGATCAGACCAGACAAGCCTCACCCAACAGATAGACAAAGTTAAGTCTCATGTAATTAGCTGTACATATTTTAATTATCAACAACAATTTACAATCCAAACAGTAACATACATAGGGAAAAAAACAGAATTCTTTGATCCTATACTGCTGCCCTGAAACCGCAAAAGATCTGTAAAAAGAGTCATTGCTATGAGTCACAAATGCAAAATGAGAGTCATAACTACAACTTGGGCGTCAAGGTTTCAACACCTCCAGTTGTAGCTACCACATCAGACCACATCTGTAAGGCAACTAAAAATCTCGTTAGAACCAGATCTTGAAAGCCAGTCAATTTAAAACAGTTTACTAAAGCCAACAAAACAAGTTTATGTGCCCAAAAATTCCTTCTCTACGGCCTCCGCTATCTCATCATCCACCGAGCCAATAGAATCACTACAACGGCTGGAATCTGATTGGCTGTCCTCAGGCTGGACAAACGCTGCCATGTTTTTCTGGTACCGCTCTAACTCATTCTCTGTCTCGTCATCATCCTCAGCATCTGTCCTCTTCTCGCCCTCCTCCGCCTCCTCTTTCTTCTCGGGCGAGAAAGATTTTCTACGCAGCTTCCAACCCCTGGGGAAATCCCCTGAAAGACTGTCAGAGTCAGAGTCTGACTCCGCACTTTTACCCAGCACCTTCTCCCTCAGACGCACCTCCCTCTCCTCATCTGACTCGTCCGAACTGTCCTCATCCTCCCCCATGATCTCGTCCACCTCTTTGTCCATGAACTCGATGTCTTCATCAGAGAATGAGTACAGGGGGTTGAAGCTACTGGCAAAGGCTGTGTCTTTGGTGTCACCAGAGGTTGTAGCTACCGACTCTACTTCACCTGTAGACTCTACTTCAGCTGTAGACTCTGGTGACTCCGTGTCTGATACTTTACATTTTTTACTGCTACTGTCACCATTACCTTTAACATCCGCATCATTCACTTTCTCTTCTTCTTCTTCATCATCTCCCTTAAGCTTACGTTTCCTGGAGTTTTTTTTTTCTAAAAAACTTGGATCAGGACTAGGTGAGGTCTTTGAGTCTTTGCTGACCAGGGGGTACAGGCTCTCCTCCACCCACTCCCACCTCTCGTTACACGCCCACAACCAGTCCCCACTCACCACATGCACACCTTTAGTCTTCAGCGCTGTCTTATGCTTCCCAGTGCCAGCCTTCGCAGCCACCAGGTGCGTTGTAGCTTCACCTGTCCCATTTTTAGACGACTTGGGCACAATATCCATCTGGACATTAGCTCCTAAGGCTTTGGCAACAATGAAGGCACGGCTCTGCTCGGCTGGCATGTTTAAAGGGAACATCCCACTAAACACAATATTGGCGCCCTTGAGGACCTTCTTCCTGACATATGGAATGATGTTCTTCAAATCTGGGAGCTCATCCGAGCCTTTCCCCTGCGACTGTTCGTACAACTCGTAGTAAGCTTTGTGTACGCGGGTGAGAATCTCCTCCAAATGGAGGAGGTAGTCGTCTTCATCATCCCACTCCAACTCCTCATCGTCTTTACTTACCTCTTTCTTACCAGCATCATCCTTTTCATTCTCACTACCTGTCTTCTCCACATGAACACTACCAACATCGCTGCCACTATCTTTCTTTTCCTCAATAGAAATACAACTTTCTTTCTTATCTGTTTCATCATTGCTACAATTGTTATCACCCACATCACCTACAACGTTATCCTCACACTTAGTACCCTGTCCAGGTTTCTGATCTAAAGTGACCACACCATCACCTGAACCCTCTACCTCCATCAGATCACTGGACACTGACTGCTCACTAGTGTCTCCCTTGTTTGTCAAACATGAGTCTTCTACTTGACCTGAACTATCTTCACTGGTTTTATCCACATTACCCACAACCTCAGCTTCTGCAGGAGTCGCATCTTCTTTAAAAACTGGATCATCATCTTTGCCACTACCTTCTTCTTTCTTTGTATCTTCAGATGTTTTCTTGCTGTCCATCTTAGCCAAACATTCTTTCTTGTATTCCTCCGAGTGGTCCACAATTTTATGGGCCAAAGGTTCGTTGTCATGTTCAGATTTGGTCAAGCCAGGAGGTGCGTTGATGTCTGCGGTGCCTTGAAAGAAGCGGTAAGGCTTGACGTGGATGAGGTTAGGGGCAAAGTTCCAGACATCCTCGCGGTCGTCTATGATCCCAACCATCTTGTCTCCACATGGAAACAAGGCTCTGGAAATGTAAATACAATTTTAATAGAAAAAAAAAGTTTTTGATTAACAAAAAAGAAAAGAAAACAAAAAACAAAAGAAGTAAAATATTACATGAACAAAAACTGTCCAAAAGTAAATTTCAATAAACTTTTGTTTAACTTTGGGTGATTGGACCTGAAATGGTTGTGTTGGAATTGATGCAAAAAAATAATTATAAAAAATACAAATACAGACATAGGGGAAGCAACTCCATAAATAACTATAATAAATTGCGTAAAGTTTAAGATCACACTATCATTTAAGTCTGACTCCTGTAATTGAATTGGTGTATGTAGAGCAAACCGGGCAACATATGTGCTCATTACACTATCCCTTTAGGTTAAAGAAACAGATCATCTCTACTTCATCTTCAACATGGACCAAATAAAATAAACTAAAGGAAAGTGCATAACACAACTAAACGCGTCTGCTACAAATATTTACAATAAAATACACATGTTGAATAATGTTATATTTGTTTTAATGAATTAAAAAAAATCTACTTAAATGTTTTATTAAAAACAAAATGAAAGGAAAACATGACAGCCAAAGCATAGACTTACTTCAAGTTGGCTGTCTTGGACAGGGCATCAAAACATTCATCCCTTGAGAGGATCCGGTGAGAGAAATACTTCTCTTCAGGGTCAAGCAGGCGTGCGATTGTGTGGGCATACATGCGCACACCAAATGTGCAGATGTGCAGCTCATACATCTTGGACACAGCTTCAAGAAATCTCAAAGTAAAGGGACGGAACCGCGTGTGGTACCACATGTAGCCTTTGCCATGCCACAACTGGAAGTGTTTGACATCCTGAGTGTGGGGGTGTATGTGTGGGTGGGTGTGTGTGGGTGGGTGGGTGTGTGTGAGTGGGTGGGTGTGTGTGGGTGGGTGTGAGTGGGTGGGTGTGGGAGAAAGAAAACTTAATTTATTGACACAACTAATAAACAGTAATGGAGTATACACATTTGAATTTTAAATGGATGATGAAGTTGAACACAAGATTTAATAACCAGAAAATCATAAATGTGGTTCCCAGGCTTAACGGTCAGTCCCTTAGTCCAGTGGACTCTCATAAAAATCTTTATCAAAATGAGGAAAGTTATGATGGATGGTGCTCACTATGCTGTACCTTTATATGCTGAGAATAGAGATGGACCAAGCAGGAAAGCTCTTCTTCAACCGCCCTTTATATCTCATGTCTATTGGTTACAGTTTTAAAAAGTTCATTGTACAAATAATGGGGAAAACTTGTTTTTTAAACTAAAATAAAAAAAGCCACAGAGACCAAAATGAATAGCTGTGCTAGCAAGGCTCAATGAACTTACTTTCAAGTTAGAGGGAATGTTGTCATTGGTTGTGTGAATCACAGTCTGATCTAAATCCACCAACAAAACAAGTTTCCTTTGCTGAAGAAGTCTCCTCTCATCCTTCCTGCCCAGTTCTAGTGCTTGCTAAAGGGACAGAATCATAATTTTAATAGATCACAACACATCATTTTACATAATGTTAAATTTTTATGTTACAAAATTTTGTTAGCTATACAAAACTTACAGAAATATTTTTGTAGTTCTGACCTGTGCACTTAAACACAATGAACAGAAGTTTTATTAATGTAATGAATAACAGTGGGAAATTTAGAGATATAACTGATAGGATTCCTGACAGCAAATAAAACATAGAGCTTTTTTTCTCAGTGGTAATTATCAACTTCACAAGGAAAGAAATGTTTTTGTAGTTTTATTCATCGCAACATTTACACAAAGGGAAAATGGGTTTCTTAAAAAAAAAGGTTACATCTCTGAGAATTAATTTGCAACCATCACTACTATAATGCTCGAACGTGAAAAATGTTTCATGGACTGAATTGATGTTATGTCATCTCAAGCAGTTATTATTTTATAGGCAGAGACTCTCAGAGTGGAACAAAATAAATGAGATATGTGGTAAAACAACTGTGCATTTAATATAGATGAAAGAAAGTGTCTAGTATAATGTCATGTCTAGGTTACCTCTTGACTGACTATCAGCTCTGGGATGCTGTGTACCATAGCAACAGATGCTGAGACTGATTTCTTTCTGTCCCCAGCTACACCATTATCTCTGGGAAAATTAATGGGACAACCAACGTTAAACAAAAAATTTTTTATGTTTAGTTATTATGCTCTTGCATGTGTTGAAAGAAAATTTATATTATAAATTGTAATTGTAAGACATCAGCAGATCAAGACACTGACCTGGTAACATACACACTTAACTAGCCAAATGAGAGTAAACTGACCTGCGTAGGTCTGCCCCACAATCTGCACACATGTCTTTCATGATTGTTGGGTGTGTACAGCTGTTCTCAGACTGGAGTTGGATGGTCAGCAGGACATCACTGAAACACAATAGTTTGGAAACAGTTTTTACAAAAAAACAATGGCTAAAACAATGCATTAAACATATTTAAAATGCCTGAGTAAAAATCATTTTAACACCCAGTGAGAAATTATTATTTCTGAGGGCAAAATCAAGCTTCCAGTCTCATTTATACAGAACGTAAGTAATTTTTATTTAGTCAATCATTTACAGTAATAAAAAAAATATAATCCTTCCCATTGCTATGCCATGAAACATAATATTTTAAAATCATCTAAGTCTTATATTATCCTAATTCTCTCTTGTTAACTAGAGTAATAGAATGAATACTAACTAAGCATTACATTTTATTACATTACAATATTAATTAGGTCTATATATTTTTATCTATTTCCCCCATGTAGCCACTAAACTAAACAATGCAGTTTATTGTTCAATCAGCAGAGCAAAATACAATTTTCAGTTTGCTTTTCTTGGCAGAAATTTTATTTCTTGGCTCAACCATATAAGTCTAATGTCAGTAAAAATATAAGGTCTACAGATTAAAACGATTTTCTTTTAAGTCACATCAAAATGTGGCTTAAGGGGGAGGGGTGGGTTTGAAGTTTAGTATCTAGATCTAGATAGCCTACTTGTAGATAATTAGCATCATTTTATGTTTTTAGCTAATAATAAAATAAAACCTTTAACCTGGGCACACCATATATAAATTTAAACAGCAATGCTATAAAAATAATTAATGGGTTATTAAACCACAGAAAGACAAAAGGGGTGATAAAGTATAAAGGGGTGTTATAGCAAAGTTAACAGACAAAATACACATTTTTGAATTAGTATAAAAGTTGGGTTGAGGGTTCATCCAATCATGAAGTCTATGGATGTTGTGAGTCAAAAAATAAAATTTTTTGACATGTTAACTGGATATTTCCTTAGGTCAAAAACAAAAATGACTAGTTTAAGCCTCAAAGTAATTAACTTTTGTTACCAATCCAACCCTTAAATTTTAATATCTGTGATACAATGAAATACATTGGTTTTAAGCAACAAATTAGTAAAAGCTTAATCTTTAGGAACTGTAACATTTTAAGATATAATAGTGAATCAAGTGGTATAGCAGTATTTGCAACAATGATATTTGTAACACGTTGAACATTAACATATTGTCAAATTTAGTTATTAGATTGTGCAGTGTATAAAAAGTTAAATGTATTTACTAGATAATTTTAAAGAAAAGTATATAAGTAGATCTAAAAGATTATAAATAAAGGAGTTATCCATAAATGACGTCACGCTTTTTTTGACGATTTTTACCTCCCCCATCCCCTCCGTCACACATAGTCACAAAAAGCCAGACCCCCCGCACCTAAAATGACATCACACCTCAGCCGACAACCCCCCTTAAAATTTCAGTTGAATTTTTCTTAAAATAGGTTATTTTTCCGAAAATCTGTCAACATACAACATTTTAATCAATTCCTATTACAATTTATTAAAACCTTTTCCTGCAATGCGAAATAAAGGCTAAAACTTGACTTGTTTTCTAACATTGCTTTTTTAAAATTAAAAAGTGTGACGTCACACCATCTGAACCCCCCCCCCCCCCTCATCACACACCGTCACAAAATTACGGACCCCCCTATTTATGGACGCAGAGGCGTAGCGATCCTTCCCGGCGCCGGGGACAAATTTTTTGATTTGCACCCCCCTCCTGAAGATTTCGATTTGCACCCCCTCTCAAATTTTTTCAACCCATTTTAGCGCCCCCTAAGGTCTGCGCCCGGGGACATATGCCCCCCCCCCCCTCGCTACGCTACTGTATGGACGACCCCAAAAGACCAAATTCCCTTTGTTTATAGTAGGCCTATAGACTGTGCAAACAGAAAACTGCGAAAATACTAGTACTATAGCAGTACACTTTTGTTTGTCATATTTCGAAGATAAATATTTTATTATGCTACAATGTCTATAAATGATCAAGATCAATTCCTTTGCACATTTAGTTTTCTGTTGCAATACTTTCTGGTCACCAGTTAAAAGGGCTAATGGCCCTAACTAATGCTATAGTTTAAAAGATATAAGATAAGACTATATTCATGAAAACTTAATCTTCTAAAATAAATTTAGGCCTAATCCTCATTGAAGAAACCTAGATCTATAGTACATACACTACATCTTGATTATACTTTAGTAAATCTAGCTTACAAACTGAAAGTGAAACTATTTTATTAATTTTATTAGGTCTGAGTTACCCTAAAGTCAAAATCTAATTATTATTAACTAGTAGGTAGGCTAATCTAGATTTCTGATTAAAGGCTAGTAGTACTAGATCTAGATGTTTATTTATTTTAAAAATAAACTTATAAAGTTACCCGCGGCCTAGTAGTAATAGTTAAGTTTAATTACTAGGTCTATATAAAAATAGTAGATCTAGTTATAGTTATAGACTAGACACCAGTCACCACTAGGCATACATAAATTAATATAAAAAAATAGGTCAAACTCTTTAGTAGATCTAGTAAACAATTAGAAATCCTGAAACAAAATTCAAAGTGGGATAATTTGTGAGTGATAGAAGTATTAAATAATAGTTTCAGAATAATGGAGTTAAAAATATGGACAATAAAATTTTGGCCTGCTTTTAAAATCAAAACAGCCGCAGTTTGTTGACGTACTTCGCATTGGCTGTTTTTCCCTCTTCAATGTTTATGTGTGCAACAATACCAGAAATCGATGTCTTAAGCTTCAGCGGTTGAGTTTTGTTTTCATTTCCAACGAGAACATAAAGTGCAAGAACAGAGCCTTTAAAAACCATGCTTCCTTTTGTTACTTTCCATTTTACTATTTCTATATTAGCAGGCGACAAAACTTCCTCATCTGTTGCCGCCATCTTGAAAATAAACGAAAAAAATAATGGACTGGAATATTCTGGACTATTTATAGTTAGTGATTTGTCTGTATTATTAGGAGAGGCGGAACCAAGAGGGGAGCATTTTCAGAAAGGCGGCGCTTTTTCTTTCGTGCTTTTAAAGAGTAAAATATATTTAAAAAAACAACAAAAAACAAGCACACAACTTTTACAATAACACAGATTTAAATGCAATAAAAATTAGAAAATGAAACAGTCAATCAATAAGCCTAGAGTTGGTTTCTAAAATGTATCAGATATCAAGAACGACCAACGTTTTAGTAATGAAATAATTTTTCTTTACTACTGCTATATTTAAACAAGTTAATAAAAAGTCTAGTGACAATTTAAGCGCAATTTCCTTATGTTATCTAAAAATAGATAGTGATCAAGTTTGTTTTTAAACAACGGAAATAGTTTTATTTTAACGAGTAGGTCTACACGATGCTCAGTATAAAAAATTATTATCCTAGGCCTACACGATGCTCAGTTTAAAAAAGTAGTAATTAATTTTTTGTGACCGAACGAAAGGATATTTTTGAAAACTTTCTTCGGCAATATTGTTCAAAATTATGGCAGGAATCGATTGGTAAATGTTTCAAGTCGCTAAGTGGTCTGGTTGCCGAGATATGGGCAAAAAACTGCATTTTTTCGAGGTTTTTAGGCTTTTCCGGGAAATCCAGGAAGGAATTCCGGGAATTTTTTTGGCCCACAATCATCCTCGGAACTTGCTTAACATATTTGCTTTTGGAACTAGTCCCCGATATTGCTTCGTTGAGGAGGAGATACCATTTAAAGCTGCGGACAAACACCCATACATACAGAAATGACGAGTTAATAATCGCAATTGTCCGTATGGAAATTGCGCTAAAAAAACGTTATTAATTATTAAGGTTTTTATAGTTTGTGATTTTTCTACTTTTCAATAATTACTGATAATAAAAAATATTTAGATAATCGGCTTTTATGTAAAGGTTTGTTCTTCACAGTTTGTTAGTTCCTAAGTAAAGTCATCTCTATACGCGACTAAAATAGTTGCTCAGCGTTTTGAGGCCTTAACTCTTAACGTCTGACCATTACTTAGAATAGACCTTAGTGAAAACATTTGTAAACTCAAAACACCTGGCTGATCCAGTGAATCGTTCTTAAACTTAATCTTGCTTTAACTACACCCCACCCTCACAGTTTGTATTAAATGTAGCCAGGATTATGTCAAAATGTGCAAAATAGACAAGATTATATAAAAATATCAGAAGTGTAGGGTAGAGGAACGTATAACAAAACATCAGCAGGGTAGAGAAACATATAACGAAACATCAGCAGGGTAGAAAAACGTATAACGAAACATTAGCAGGGTAGATAAACGTATAACGAAACATCGGCAGGGTAGAGAAACGTATAATAATACATCAAAAGGGTAGCCACGATCACAACAAAAAGTTTAGCCGTTGATATACGACGTGAAACGGTTTAAAGCTTAACCACTCAGCTGTTGTCTTACGCTTAACGTCAAGTTACATTTTTTGACCTCACCCCTGATCGTAAACACACAGAGTAGCTATACTTATCAGTAATATTGATTCTACTCTCTTAGGTGTTATAGGTTAAATGGCTGCGAAGAAAACGCATTGCAGTTAGACGAGAAGAAAAAGGGAGAATATTGAAATCTCACCTCACTGAAAAGTAATCATATAATCTTTAAAACTTTACTTGAATGTGGCGACATGTGATATCGTGAAAATATTTCTTAGGTATAAATATAGGCATATCCATATACACACATAAACATATAGTGTGTGTGTCTCTCTCGCTGTATATAATTATATATATATATATATATATATATATATATATATATATATATATATATATATATATATATATACATTTACCAATCCGTAGTTGTAGTTGTTGTCGATGCCGAGAGAACCATTAGAAAACGGTCATAACTGACTTAGGTTTCCAATATTACTGCACTGTTCCGACCGGCTCAGGGTGATTGTTCCAGCGGCCTAGTCCACCACTAAATGTAGCACCGGTGACTCAGATCAAGTCATATTACATCATATAGTCGCCATATCTCTGACACCATCTGAACAAACAGGCCACTTGCGGAGTTCGATGTTCTAGGGAAGAGCTCTTCAGCATCTTGAGATAATGAAGCGCGGACTTGATTGTTTTTGGCGCGGGATGAGGCGAGATTAGGGTTAAGTAAGGAGGGGGAGGTTATGATTAAAAAATTTGTCAAATAAATTATTTCTCCTCTTGCTGAAGGTTTGGTTGTATTTTAGTGAACCGTTTGGTCAGATTTAATATTGATTTATTCGATTTTTTGGGCTTAAGATCATGTGACTGATGGACGTAAGAGGTCGTCCATAAATGACGTCACACTCGTAGGGGGGTGGGGGTGGGGTCCGTAGGGCAATAGCACATAATGTGGGATTAGAATCTGTTTGGTGTGATGGACGTCAGATCACGTGTTGTGACGTCAGATCACGTGGTGTGATGGACGTCAGATCACGTGGTATGATGGACGTCATATCACGTGGTGTGACGTCAGATCACGTGGTGTGACGTCAGATCACGTGGTATGATGGACGTCATATCACGTGGTGTGACGTCAGATCACGTGGTATGATGGACGTAATATCACGTGATGTAATGGACGTCAGATCACGTGGTGTGACGTCGGATCACGTGGTGTAACGTCAGATCACGTGATATGATGGACGTCATATCACGTGGTGTGATGGACGTCAGATCACGTGATGTAATGCATGTAATGGATGTCAGATCACGTGGTGTGACGTCGGATCACGTGGTGTGATGGACGTCAGATCACGTGGTGTGACGTCAGATCACGTGGTGTGATGGATGTCAGATCACGTCACGTGATGGATTTGATGATAGACGTAAGATTGTCTGGTAAGATTGAGGTAAAAATCAAATTCTCACAATGGCCATAATGTTGCAAGTATGAGGAGACACAAATTTACGAGACGATGATTAATTAAGAGGGCTTAATGAGTTTATTTTTAACTGACACTCCACGATATTAAAAAAAAATTGCCAACACTACCTACCCCCCCCCCCCCCTCATCCCAACACCTACCATTGAGCAATTGTTCCAGTTATTGCACCTGATCGTGCAACACAAGCCGAGATAAAGCAGAACCCTCTTTAGTACAGATCTATACTAGAGTACAATGAGTGGATGTCGTTCGCATGACGCTTTGTAAAGTAAACAACGAGTTATCTTTCCTGATGTTGCTGCTATATAATTAGATCTTAGTAACAAAAAATAGTTGCTAGTTCGCTGTTTTGTTCATTCACACACCGGCCTAGCAGGCGGCTAGCAGAAGATAGTGTTGTAGTTCAACTGTAGTTCTCTAAACAAGTAAACACACCTTTATAAATATACTTTGTGTAGCTAATAAATTCGATACAAATATCTATTGTTGTGAAGATCAGACTAAAACTATATTTTTGTTAGACATATAAATTTGGCTGTTTACGGATTTCTGTGATTTTGTTAGCCAAATATGCCAGATTTTTCTTACAGGTAAGATTTAAAACGCGTTTTTTTATTCTGTATCTTCAATTTTTACGAAGTTTGTCTTGGTTTTTTTGTTAATTAAATACTATAGCTAATTTTCTGCACATTAATAATTCATTAACTATAAAGACCTAAAGCGAAATAATGTATACATTAATTAAATATATTGAAATTAAATTCTTAATGGGCGCTATCCGGGCTGTGAGACACGGATATGCCCGGGAGGCGCTAAACGTTTGACAAACATGAACAACATAACATTTACCGATGTAAGTAATTTGTTGTACCTTGATAGTAACCTTTGTATTAGAATACTTAGATTAAAATGTATGCGATGCATCAACTATCCAGTCGTTGGATATTTTCCGTTCCTCATTCAAAGTGTGATCTCTAGAAGGTTGGATTTCTAGAAGGTTTTATTCCTAGTAGGTTTGATTCATGGAAAGTTTGATTCCTAGAAGGTTTGATTCCTACAAGGTTTGATTCCTGGAAGGTTTCTTCTTCTTCTTCTTCTTCTTCGTTCTTAATTATTAGTGTTGAATGGGATCGAGATTAATCTGCCAGTGGGTTTGAACTCGAGACTTTGTTCGAATTTATCAACCATGAGCTTTTTGCCGACTCGACCACGCCTCCAACTCAATTAAGCGGTACGTGTCAACTGGTTATGCGCCATTCAGGCCATTGACTCCGATTTCAGCCTGCTTTTCTTTTTGGATTTGCTTCCATAGCCTTTGTCCAACCAAGAACAAACTACAAGGCAGCAGTTGTTTAATTTTGGAGTTGTCACTCGTAGAAGAGTGGCTGTCCCCAGCTAACGAGCCTCATCTGCCCGAGGGTTCGAACTCGAGACTTTTCGGTTTAGCAACAATGAGCTTTACCGACTCGACCACGCCGATCCCCTGGAAGGTTTAATTCCTTGAAGGTTTAATTCCTGGAAAGTTTGAGTCCTAGAAGGTTTAATTCCTGGAAGGTTTGATTCCTAGAAGGTTTGATTCCTGGAAGGCTTGATTCCTAGAAGGTTTGATTCCTAGAAGGTTTGATTCCTGGAAGGTTTGATTCCTGGCAGATGTTATTTCTAGAAGGTGTGATTCACGAAAGTTGTGATTTCTAGAAGGTGTGATTCCTAAAATGTTTGATCTCTAGAAGGTGTGATCTCTGGAATGTGTGATTACTGAACGGGTTGATCTCAAGAAGGTGATGTATGGAACGAGTGTTGTTGTGGAAACTGGTGTTGATAAATCAGTGATTTTGTTGTTGTCATATCAGTGTTGTATAAAACGGTGTTGATGTCGTTGCATACACCACTTTTGTTTTTGTAGAAATCAGTAGAGTGGTGTTGTAACAGTGTCACCTCATTTGTTACTGTTACATTTTTTAAATTATTAAAGGGGAACAACTTATAACTAAGAATATAAAAAAAAAACAACATCAAAATAAATAAGAATAAATTGTAGAAAAAATAAGACCAGTGTTTATTGTTTATAACTTTATAAAAAAAACATAATAGTCAGTAAAACAACTTGCATATGCTAAATATGTATATGTTTCATGTTTATCGGTTAAAATATTCAAAACAGAAAACTGCAAGCTGTTTAAAATAGTTAATTTATATAAAAGTGAAACTTCTAATGGTTAATTGCTAAAAATCCATTTAACTTCAAGAGAAATAAATACGTTTTATAGAAAGTTTACATTTCAATTCTTAATGGTTACAAAATAGATGGGTATAGTACAGGGGTCGGCAACCTGCGGCTCGCGAGCCGCATGCGGCTCTTTTGATGTTAATATGCGGCTCTCCAGTTCCATAATAATTATATGATTTTATTTTCAAAACCCAAAAATATGATACTGTAAAAAAAAACAGCTTTAAACAAAAAAAAAAACAAAAAACAATGAGAATAGGTGGAGTAGATTAGAGCATATATGGATAGCTGACAGCCGCTGGGCATTAGGCCCAGCCCCACAACTGTGCTGTGGCCATCCCCGTGGCAATGGTTCCATGCTTTCCACTAGCGAATTGCGCATAAAATTTTTATTAAAAATGTTAGTGGCTCTTTAGAAATTGGGAAATTTTGTAGATTATAACTTCTGGCTCTTCCGTCTCAAAAGGTTGCCGACCCCTGGTATAGTTTTGTATTATATCATAAAGTTTATTGGTCCGCTGTCTTCAAAACATTTTTTTTAAAATCCATAGCGAATTCTGGTCCAAGCTATTGTTTTTTGATGGATGTGCGGTTTTTTGTTTGTTTGTAATAAATCATTGAAATAATTACATGGTTTTTACTGGTAAATGTAGATCAGTACAATTGCATCATTAAACTTTCAATTCGTTAAAAAAAAAAATGTATTAAAAAAAAATGTAAAATGAATTTCAAATAAATTGTAAAGTTTTCATATAGGGCATAGGGTCATACCTATGTAATAGTTTGGAAATTTAATAAATTACAATTTTAATCACAAATAAAAAAAAAATTTCATTGTAATAACATTACTTTTCCGGTTGCTTAAAATTTTATCATTTTAATTCTCCGTCATCCCAAATTTATTTCAGCTCTACTTACAAAACCCAAATGCAAATCCCCCCCCCCTCAGCCCACCACACCGATGGAAAAAAAACATCCCTTGAATCACCATTTAATTACACATTTGTAAGCTAAGCAGTCAAAAGAAACCAAGTTGCACACCATATTTAAGTCTTATTCTTATGAAATTTTACTTTCTCCGTTTCTCCATTTATTTTAATTACTATATATAGATCTACAATTGATTGTCATGGCTTTGAATCTGTGTAAAACTTCAAAATAATTAATTATTACTATTTTAAATGTTTAAAATAAATTAAAAAAAAAACAACTTGTGGGAGGACTGCTATAGATATAGATGTTTGAAAGGGAAGAATGTTTGATTTGTTGTGCCTCATTGCAGGGGCGTAGCGAGGGGGGGGGGGGGGGCGGGGGCGTGCGGATCGCAACGGGTGACACCATTTAGGGGGGTGACACCAAGGCAAAAAATAGCAAAATATATAGAGAAAAACTAGAGGGGGGGAGGGTGCAAATCGAAAATTTGAGTGGGGGGGGGGGGGTGCAAATCGAAAGTTTGAGGGGGGATGCAAATCGAAAATTTGAAAGTTTGTACCCGGGAAGGGTCGCTACGCCTCTAGGGGGGGGGGGTGTGACACCATTAAGTGCCGCACCGGGTGACACCCGACCTCGCTACGCCACTGCCTCATTGCACGTACTCAACATAACATTCCGGTCGATTATAATATTTATAATATTATTTTTCATTAATCCCAAGTTTATTTCAGCTTTGCTTAAAACCCCAAACCCCCTCAACCCACAACGCCGATGGAAAAAAAAATCCGTTGAATCACCATTTAATTACACATTTGCATTTCAGGTTTTTAACATAAAATTTTAATTAGACGTTTTTTATTAGATCTATGTATAAGTAAACCATCTTGAATAAATGAAAGTACGCTACATGTAAGAAAGAAATATTACTATTGTAAATCTGTATCAGTCCTCACAAGCCGATGATGAAAACTATAATACTAAAGCTAACATGCAAGGCAAACTGACGCTGTAAATTAAAAGGACAAAAAAAAAAAAAAAAAAAAAAAAAAAAAAAAAAAAAAAAAAAACTTCATGTAGACACAATGAATTAGATGGGTTTGGAACTTCACTGATCACGTTACTCGTGTTGTTTTATCTAATAGAAGACTATTTGCTTGTTATCTCCCCTGGTTTGATTCGGTCACTTGCCCAGTCCCACAACACTGTAAACAAACTGCGTCAGCCACCAAATTTAGACTTGGGTACCGTTAACACACCAGACGTGTTGCACGGCTTGAGCACAGTCATGCTACACACGTGTTGTTTACCTTTTGGAGATAAGAAACACGCCGGCTTATTTGTGTATAGAAAATGTAGAAAACATAAGTTCGTTAAAGATAAAAGACTCGTTGCCTATAATAGGATCGTAAAAAATGTTAAGAGCACACATACAAATTATTCAACATAGCTCATTATGGTGTTTATTACAGTATATTGTTTGCATTGTAGCTGGACATAAAAACTATGGCAGACGAGTGGTCAACTTTTGAAAAATTCTGTGGAAACTCTCCTTTTTGGGTAGGTAGCAATAGTATTTAATTTCTTGTCAATTACGCGTATTTTGTCTGCATAAATTACATGTAACCCTCGCAGATTTTAATATCTGTGTTTGGTTGTTAGGGTTAGGATTAGGAATTAGGTTTGATATTTTTTTACTTTATGTAAATTACTTTTAATGATAATATCATACATTGCCTCTACTAACACATTTCCAAAACTTATTGTGCTAATACATTCCCTCTACGTAATATTCGATCTAACGTTTCCTATACCTTACATTCCCCTACTTTATTTCTATCTATTATTAACACCAATCAATCATTCCTTCTTCCTAAAAAATCCCCCAAATTCTCTTTACTTAACATTTTCCCTTCTGCCTAAAATTTCCTAGCATTCCCTCTGTCTAAAATTCCCTAACATCCCCTCTACCTAATATTCCATCTGCCTAACATTTTTTTAGCCCAACATTCCCTCTACCTAATATTCCATCTGCCTAAATTTCCCCCTACCTAATAGTTCCTCTACTTCCTATCATTCTCTTTTCCTAACATTTCCTAACATTCCCTAACATTCCCTTTACCTAATATTCCCTCTAACTAACAATCCCTAACATTCCCTCTACCTATCATTTTCTTTCCTAACATACCCTAACATTCCCTCTAACTAACATTCCCTACCATTCCCTCTACCTAACATCCCATCTGACTAACATTCCCTACCATTCCCTCTACATAACATTCCCTACCATTCCCTCTACCTAACATCCCATCTGACTAACATTCCCTACCATTCCCTCTACATAACATTCCCTAACATTCCCTCTACCTAACATCCCCTATGACTAACATTCCTTAACATTCCCTCTACCCAGAATGAATCTCTCCTGCTAGACGACACATACCCCCACTTTACGCCATGTTTTAGGCAAGTTGCCCTGATATGGATACCTTGCCTAGCGCTTATTGCCGTCTCACCTTTCTACGTTGCCTACCTGCTCCAACATAACAGATGGTCATCCTTGCCCCTCGGTGTCCTGCACATAATTAAAGTGGTGAGTACCAAAGGGGGGAGCGGGGCGTACGGGGGAGGGGGGTGTAAGGGGGAGGGGGGTAATTGCACTCGATTTTGGAAAAAGTTTAAATTTTTCATAAGTATCATACAAAATATTTTTTAAAGCAAGGGAAATAAGTCGTCAATTTTATGAGTAAAGTATCCAAAGGTTCAGAGACTTCTTTCCCCAGTTGTCTTCCCTTGCCCTTCTTGGAATCTCAGTCGCCATCCTCATCATCCGAGGGGTGGATGAGAATCAGGATGACGTCATGGACGTGGAGTACGTGTCGGAAGGTCTGAAGGCCGGGTGTTTTGTAAGTCTGTTGCTATGGAAACTTGTGTTTGATAAACCAATGCTGTTGTTATGGAAACTTGTGTTGATAAACCAATGCTGTTGTTATGGAAACGTGTGTTGATAAAACAATGCTGTTGCTGTTGTGTAAACTTGTGTTGATAAACCAATGCTGTTGTTGTGAACTTGTGTTGATAAACCAATGCTGTTGTTATGTGAACTTGTGTTGATAAACAAATGCTGTTGTTGTGAACTTGTGTTGATAAACCAATGCTGCTGTGTGAACTTGTGTTGATAAAACAATGCTGTTGCTATGGAAACTTGTGTTTATAAACCAATGCTGTTGCTGTTGTCTTGACTTGTGTTGATAAACCAATGCTGTTGTTGGCCTCACTTTCGGTACGAAAGAGCGTTAACAATATACCACGTAGTGCAATGTTGTTGTGCGCATGTGCAGTTGTATCTGTGTGTGTTTCACAGCTTCTGTCGTTACGTGCAATGTTGTGCGCATGCGCAGTTGTATCTGTGTTCCACAGCTTCTGTCGTTATTTATCCTGGCACTGGAGCGGAGGAAGGGCTTCATGACGTCATCAGTACTGTGGACCTACTGGACTGTGATGCTTTTAGTTTCCATCGTGCCTTTTTACAGTAATATCATTGAGGAGGTGAGTGTGGGAATAGTGTGGGTGTGGGAATAGTGTGGGTGTGGGAATAGTGTGGTCTAGTGGCTAGACACCATCACTGAGGAGGTGAGTGTGGGAATAGTGTGGGTGTGGGAATAGTGTGGGTGTGGGAATAGTGTGGGTGTGGGAATAGTGTGGGTGTGGGAATAGTGTGGTCTAGTGGTTAGACAACCCACCCCCTACCCCCACCCCAACATAAAATTTGTCAGAAACCAAATTAAAATATTGTCGTACTAAATTATTCCCCCCACCCCCAGCCTTCATATCCAAGATGGGGGGGGGGGCGGGGCGGATTATGCCTAACCCCATCCCATTCACCCCTCGTCAAAATCCCCTCCCCTACAAGACATACAATGTACAGGCTCAGTGACCTCTACATTGGTGCTAGAGAACTTGATTTAACATCCGGTTGCTGCCGCCAGCATCTTATATGTAGGGGTCAGTTGTGGACAATAATTAGAGCTCAATTAAAAACGTACTAGACATTCTGAGAAAGTATCAGGGTTAAAAGAAGATGCATCACCCAGAAGCTACTTTAGGGAAGTCGTACAACTTGTTTATTTACTTGAGCGGCTTTTTGTGTTATTGCCTAAGAACGGTGTATCATTTTGCCGTCAAACTTCATCAAGCTAGATCAGGGGTCGGCAACCTTTTGAAGCGGAAGAGCCATAAGTTACAATTTTCAAAATTTCCCTGGTTTTAAAGAGCCACTAGCATTTTTTTATTTCAAATATTTTAGTTTTTTATTAAGATTATTAGTATTTGTTCAAGGAGCTGGAGAGCCGCATCTTGATATCAAAAGAGCCGCATGCGGCTCGCGAGCCGCAGGTTGCCGACCCCTGAGCTAGATTAAAAAAAAAATTCATTTAGACATGCAGCGCCTATTTGCCTTGCCATGTTCGCTTTAGTATTGCAGTTTTCATATTCGGCAAGTGAGGACTGTAAACGATTTACAAATTCTTTGGTAAATCAACCTTTTAAATTCACTAAAATTGGATGAACTGAGCGCTAATGATTTGAAATTCTCTTAAAAAATAAAATCAAGAATTACAAACAGCTAATTGTTTTTCATTTCAACTAGCTTCAAATGTTATATGTCAAATTTAATAAATATAAAAACTTAACACTGTGTTAGCAGCTTATAAATTTTTTATTAAATAATGAAGAATAATAAATTTTATTTTCATAAGTGTTGAATGTCATTATATTTAAGCTACTCTTGAGAGATTGCTTATAGGTTGTTTCCCTTGGCTATTATTATTATTTTAAATGGGAGGTAAGTAACACATTTATACCTCTACTGGTGCTCAACGATGTAAAAACTGGACATGTCATGTCTGTCCCCAGCTTGAGACTACAGACAACGTCAGCTTCGTCCTGTTCTATGTTTACTTCGGGTTCCTGGCCCTGCAGTTTGTCACGTCATCGTTCGTGGAGAAACGCTCCGGAGTCTACCAGGATCTCTCGAAGGTAGGTCCGGCAGTCAGTCCGGCAGTCAGTCCGGCAGTCAGTCCGGCAGTCAGTCCGGTAATCTGTCCGGCAGTTAGTCCGGCAGTCTGTCCGGCAGTCAGCCCGGCACAGTCCGGCAGTCAGTCCGGCAGTCAGTCCGGCAGTCAGTCCGGCAGTCTGTCAGGCAGTCTGTCCGGTAGTCTGTCCGGCAGTCTGTCCGGCAGTCAGTCCGGCACAGTCCGGCAGTCTGTCAGGCAGTCTGTCCGGTAGTCTGTCAGGCAGTCTGTCCGGCAGTCAGTCCGGCACAGTCCGGCAGTCTGTCAGGCAGTCTGTCCGGTAGTCTGTCCGGCACAGTCCGACAGTCAGTCCAGCATTCAGTCCAGTAGTCAGTCCGGCAGTCCGGCCGGTAGTCTGACAGTCTGTCCGGCAGTTCGTCTTGTATCCATCCGTCTACCATACATCCGCCAGTCAGTCATACATCCGGCAGTCAGTCTTACATCAGTCCGTCGAACATTTGTCAGTCAGTCATATATCCAATTGTCCGTCATCCATTCATCAGTCAGTGGGACAGTTAAAAATGATCATGCATCCAACATCAACCATAGTTTAGCAAAGTCTATACTTGCAATACTTCTATCATTACTGAACCAATTACATTTTCTGGAATAAACAAGATAAAAGGTAAAAAAAATGACAAGATTAACATTTATTGACATAGTCTATGTACATAATGAACCTACAGAATGTGTATGTTTTAATGGGTTTCTATGTAACAAAACGTTAATTAATTAGTTAATGTTTCACATTTCGTCTCTAGAACCCAAGTCCTGAGCTAACAGCATCTTTTCCCAGTATCATCAGCTATTGGTGGCTGAATGGGTAGGTTGTATAGTGGCTTAATGGGTAGGTTTATTGTGTTGTTAGGTAGGTTTATTGGTGGCTTAATAGGTAGGTTTATTGAAGGTTGTTGGGTAGGTTGTATAGAGGTTTAATGGGTAGGTTTATTGGTGGCTTAATGGGTAGGTTTATTGGTGGCTTAATGGGTAGGTTTATTGGTGGCTTAATGGGTAGGTTTATTGGTGGCTTAATGGGTAGGTTTATTGGTGGCTTAATGGGTAGGTTTATTGGTGGCTTAATGGGTAGGTTTATTGGTGGCTTAATGGGTAGGTTTATTGGTGGTTTAATGGATAGGTTTATTGGTGGCTGAATGGATAGGTTGTATAGTGGTTTAATGGGTAGGTTTATTGGTGGTTTAATGGATAGGTTTATTGGTGGCTGAATGGATAGGTTGTATAGTGGTTTAATGGGTAGGTTTATTGGTGGTTTAATGGATAGGTGTATTGGTGGCTGAATGGGTCGGTTTGTAAGTGGCTTAATGGGTAGGTTCATCATGGTTCTTTGGGTAGGCAAAATGGTTGGCTTAATGGATAGGTATACTGGTGGGTTAATGTCTATAGTTAACGATTGGCTAAATACGAAACACTTATTGTGTGGGGTGACGCGTGAATTAATAAATAGGTTAGTGGATTGCTGATGGATGGGCAGTTCATTAGACTGGTAATTGGATGTTGTAGCGGGTAGTTACTGTGTTGTCTCTGGTGGTATTAAAGCCACACAGACGAGTCAATACTGAACTAACACGCGTCAGACGCGCCTGTACCAAACCTAATGCTTCTGTCGTCCTGCCCAGGCTGATCATCAGGGGCTACAGGAAGACGCTGACAGAAGACGACATCTACGATCTGGCACCACAAGACACCTGCGATGCCGTCATTCCACCGTTTGAGCATGCGTGGGCGGCAGAGAGGGCCAGGGTAGACGCCTACAACAACAAAATCAGGTCACATTACGTCATCTTTTCACTACTCTATCTTTAGAAATTGTATGATAAAGTTGACGTTTTTTTTTACTGTTCGTTTATATAGTTGACTCAGTGGCGTAGCGAGGTCGGATGTCACCCGGTGCGGCACTTAATGGTGTCCACCCCCCCCCCCCCCCAGAGGCGTAGCGACTCTTCCCGGGGACAAACTTTCAATTTTCGATTTGCAACCCCCCTCGAACTTTCGATTCGCACCCCCCCCCCTCAAATTTTTCTCTATATATTTTACTATTTTTTGCCTTGGTGTCACCCCCCCCCCCAAATGGTGCCACCCAATGCGGTCCTCACCCCCCGCCCCCCCCCTCCCCCTCGCTACGCCTCTGAGTTGACTTAGTGTATAACACATACCATACTATGTTCATCTATTTGTTCTGTATGAAACTGTGTAGTAAACGTGTGCTATTGAAGGAGACATGGGTGATAGATCTTATTCTTGCAGACCAAAAGTGGAGGCCATGTTAGGCAAGATGGGGAAGGACCAGCACTACACGGAGAAGACCCCTTTGATCACCAGTAAAGCTAAGGCCAACGGGACCCCGACGACCCCAGACCCCAAGGGTAAAGCTGAGAAGAAACCCAAGTCTCCCTTCAAAGAACCGTCACTGTTGCGTGTTTTGATCAAAGTATACGGGCCGATACTGCTACTGGCACAGGTAGGCCGATATGGTACAGGTAGGCCGATATGGTACAGGTAGGCCTATATGGCACAGGTAGGCAGATATGACACAGCTAGTCCGAAATTACACAGGTAGGCCGATATTGCATAGGTAGACCAATATATCAGTCCCAAAGATGTGAGCAGAATACCATAAATCTGCGCTAATCATTGAGTCACCATCTTTGTCTAACCTACCACCTTTCTGTCTCCCACAGGTAGTGAAGACAGCCACAGACTTGATGCCATTTGCCACCCCAAAAATTACAGAGTGGGTGATAATAAATCTATTAATAGAATAGTTTAAAAGAAAACAACTACCTGATGTTTTAATTGGTCATTAATTGGAAATTAATTTATAAATAAAACACTTTTTTTGTTTAACTGATACATTTTCGACGCTATCACCTTAATTACCTTTGTCCTCTGTCTTCTAAAATTCTTTGTGTTTTTAACACACTATCAGTATTCAAGTATTATATGTTTGTGAAATAAACAAATTTTCTTGCCCCCCCCCCCCCCTGCCCCCCCCCCCCCCTCCCATAGGGCCCTACTGTCGTATGTGGCCATGAAGGATGTGGAGCGGGAATGGAAGGGGTACGTCCTGGCCTGCTCCTACTTCGTCGTCCAGTTCCTGGTGTCTCTGGGCTCCAACCAGGCTCTCCTGGTGCTCAGGCGGCTAGGCATGAGGGTCAAGGCCGCGCTCATTTCAGCCATATACAAAAAGGTAGACCTTAGGGATGTGAGTTAATGAGTTTCTTTCAGGCATTTCTTCGAGGGGAGAGGGGCACTACCCTCCTGGAGCACGCCGACCTTTCCCCGGTCGAATAAAAAAAAATCTATGAATTCTATAGACAATATAAACTTAAACCAGTGTCCCCCAACCCCTGATGGAAGTTTTAAGTTTGTCCTTCCATAAGAGTTATTAGTTCCCCCGCAGAGAAATGTCTGAAAGAAAACCATCTCACATACTAAACATCAACATTCCTTTAAAACTCGTCTGTATCATTGACCACCCATGTTTTGTGTCACCTTTAGTCACTAACGATCACCTACCATGTCTTGTATCACATGTAGTTACTAACGATCACCATCAGTTGTTCACCATCCATGTCTTGTATCACCTTTAGTCACTAACGATCCTCAACAGTTGTTTACCACCTATGTCTTGTGTCACCTTTAGTCACTAACGATCACCTACCGTGTCTTGTGTCACCTTTAGTCACTAACGATCACCTACCGTGTCTTGTGTCACCTTTAGTCACTAACGATCACCTACCATGTCTTGTATCACCTTCAGTCACTAACGATCACCTACCATGTCTTGTATCACCTTTAGTTACTAACGATAACCTACCATGTCTTGTGTCACCTTTAGTTACTAACGATCCCCTACCATGTCTTGTGTCACCTTTAGTCACTAACGATCACCTACCATGTCTTGTGTCACCTTTAGTTACTAACGATCACCTACCATGTCTTGTGTCACCTTTAGTCACTAACGATCACCTACCATGTCTTGTGTCACCTTTAGTCACTAACGATCACCTACCATGTCTTGTGTCACCTTTAGTCACTAACGATCACCTACCATGTCTTGTGTCACCTTTAGTCACTAACGATCACCTACCATGTCTTGTGTCACCTTTAGTCACTAACGATCACCTACCATGTCTTGTGTCACCTTTAGTCACTAACGATCACCTACCATGTCTTGTGTCACCTTTAGTCACTAACGATCACCATCAGTTGTTCACCACTCATGTCTTGTGTCACCTTTAGTCACTAACGATCACCTACCATGTTTTGTGTCACCTTTAATCACTAACGATCACCACCCATGTTTTGTATCACCTTTAGTCACTAACGATCACCAACATCAACGACGAGACGACAGCAGGTGAGATCGTCAACCTGATGTCTGTAGACTGTCAGAAGATAGAGGACGTCTGCAACTACCTGTATTTTATCGTCTCCACACCTTTCCAGGTAAGTCTGGCGAATTGTGCCTGGAAGTGGCTAGTTGATGTTAGGACTTGCTAGACGTGGCTAGTTGTTGCAACGTGTTTTGAGGTGCGACTAGTTGTGGCTACATGTAGCTAGACGTGCCCAGGTTTAGCATTTTGTGACCTGTTGCTCCGTGTTTCTATGTGTGGCTGTGTGTATTTATAACCACCACTTCTTTCCACTTCAATACAGCCAAGTATTAACGTTCCTCTACACCTGTACCTCATGCTAACCCTACCCCTCCCCCCCTCCCCCACCTGTGTTCCAGCTTGCCCTGTCCATCTACATGCTGTATGACCAGCTGGGCGTGGCCGTGTTTGCTGGACTGGGGGTCATGTGTCTGGCCGTGCCGGTCAACGCCTTCATCGGGTATTTCCTCAGGACCTACCAGCTGCAGCAGATGAAGCTCAAGGACAAAAGGATGAAACTTATGACGGAGATTTTATCTGGCATCAAGGTACAGGGGCGTGTAGGGGAGATCACTCGACCTGTAGTTTTTTTCTAGAGTTACGGTTATTGTTTTTGAAAAAGTGCATGTTTTTATTTAGAAAATGTTTAAACTAAATGTTTAAAAAACTTAATTTATAGGCCTAATTAAATCAATATTGTCGATTGAATCAACTTTTTTCCAATTTTCTTAACAAGTACAGACAAATAATTATAAAAATAAAAATAACAAAGTGATCATATATATATATATATATATATATATATATATATATATATATATATATATATATATATATATATATATATATATATATATATATAATCCATCCCCGTCAATTACACCCTGGAAATTCCCCCCCCCATCAGCCCTCCCCCCTGGAGCAATTACCACTTGTTAATAAACCCCTATTTAATTACCCCCGCTCAAAAATGTTGTATGTATTATAATGTCCTACTAGGGAGGGGGTAATAACCCAGAGGTGATTGAAGGTGGTAACTGCTCCGGGGAAGGGGCTAAGTGGCGTATGGGGAGCTGTCGGGGGTAATATCCTAGACAATACCACCAAAACCGACTCCTTCTTCCCCTACAGGTGCTAAAGCTGTACGCCTGGGAGGGATCGTTTGAGAAAAAAGTTGAGGAGATCAGGCGACAAGAGCTGACCATCATACGGAGGTTTGCTGTCGTCATCGCCATGCTCATCTTTGTTTTCAATACCATGCCTTATATGGTCAGTCTAAACTTAACTGATACCGTGTGACGTGTGGGTGGGCGGGGTGTATGGTCAGTGTTGACTTGACTTATACAGTGTGACATAAGAGGGCCTAAATATTCTCTTCTTATAACCATTAAATCGTTCTATACATTTTATCGTATTCTGATGGTCTATATAATTCCTATCCTTGTGTTTTCATGGTCTATATGATTCCCATCTTCGTACTCTGATGGCCTGACTAATTTTCTCTCATCAAAACTGTCATTTTATTCATTAAGTTACACCGTGAAAACAGTACCCGTAAAATGACGCCATCTGTCTGTCCCCCCCCCTGGATATGTCCGCCCCCCTCAGGTCCAGCTGACGTCATTCGGGGTGTACATCGCCATCTCAGACGAGGGTTACCTCAGCCCGTCCAAGGCCTTCGTGTCCCTGCAGCTCTTCAACATGCTCAACGTGCCGCTCACCTTCTTGCCTATGATCATACCTATGCTGGTACAGGTGAGTCTCTGAGTTGTTGGTACAGGTGAGTCTCTGAGTTGTTGGTACAGGTGAGTCGCTGAGTTGTTGGTACAGGTGAGTCACTGAGTTGTTGGTACAGGTGAGTCGCTGAGTTGTTGGTACAGGTGAGTCACTGAGTTGTTGGTACAGGTGAGTCGCTGAGTTGTTGGTACAGGTGAGTCACTGAGTTGTTGGTACAGGTGAGTCGCTGAGTTGTTGGTACAGGTGAGTCGCTGAGTTGTTGGTACAGGTGAGTCTCTGAGTTGTTGGTACAGGTGAGTCGCTGAGTTGTTGGTACAGGTGAGTCGCTGAGTTGTTGGTGTAGGTAGGTCATTGACCTGTAAGTGTAGATAGGTCAACGACCTGTTGGGGTAGGTAGGTCAATGACCTGTTGGATTTGGTAGGTCAATGACCTGTTGGTACAGGTAGGTCAATGACCTGTTGGTATAGGTAGGTAGTTGATCAATGAATACAGATACGTCGTTGGTGCAATTAGGCCAATGACCTTTTAGAGCAGGGTGGTCAGTGACCTGTTAGAGCAGGTAGGTCGTTTACTTGACTGTGCAGGGAGGTCGTTGATCTGTTGTGTAGGTCGTTTACTTGACTGTGCAGGGAGGTCGTTGATCTGTTGTATTGATAGTCTGATCAGCTATACAAATATTGGTGCAATTAGGTCAAAACAATTGACGCAGGTAGGTCATTGACATTTGATGATCCCAAAATTGCGGTATTAGGTCATTGACATCAATAAACTCACTTTGGTGATGTAGGCAGGATATAGGTAAAATATGCATTCTTAGAATATAGAACAACTTTTTTTTTTTTTTTTAAATGTTATTTCTCTCACTCCCCCCCCCCCCCCCACCCCGAACCTCCACCCACAGGCAGGTGTCGCCATCACACGTCTGGCACGTTACCTCAACACCGACGACATCAAGCCTGATGTTGTCACCAGGGATCCCAGGTCAGGTGAGTCAGCTGTCATATTTCAGTCATCTGGCATACAGTTAGCCATTTGTCACATAGTTATTAAAACTTAATTTTTGTATTTTATTTAAAGAAAAAATTCAACTTGAATACTAGTTGTTTCTTTATAGTAGTTATAATTGCGTGTAAAATGAGCGAGTAAAATTTATTCAAATAAAGATTGATTTTATTCAGGGTATTTTAAGACAATGATTATATACAGTATAATACAAGCTTACATGTAAACTCATTATTAATTGGTGTACATCTATAGAACCTACTCTTGATTCGTGTAATTTATTGACTTGAATTCAACAGAGTTCGCCGTGAAGATAACAAATGGGGAGTTTACTTGGGACAAGGAGCAGGAGACTCCGACACTGAGGAAGTTAGTTCCCTTTGTTGTTGATTTGACTAGAGTTATGGTATGATGAATGCTCAACGTGTGTTGTAGACCAGGGGTCGGCAACCTGCGGCTCGCGAGCCGCATGCGGCTCTTTTGCTATCAAGATGCGGCTCTCCAGCTCCTTGAACAAATACTAATAATCTTAATAAATAAATAAAATATTTGAAATAAAAATAATGTTAGTGGCTCTTTGAAACCAGGGAAATTTTGAAAATTGTAACTTTTGGCTCTTCCGCTTCAAAAGGTTGCCGACCCCTGTTGTAGACTGATGATATTTGTTTATGTCGGCCGTGGTCGTGCTGATGGTGGTCATGCTTTATGTGGTTGTGATTTCATCTTAGTGTGTGGTGATGGTGTGTGTAGTGATGATGTTGTGTTGGTGATGTGTAGTGATGTTATGTATTGTTATGTGACGAATTCTTTGCTGCTGTTCATATTTTATACGGTTTACATGTTAAAATCATACCTCATAAAATGTATGATTACACCTAAAAAATAACAAATAATTTTAGTATGTAAATAAATTAAATTTAAACTGTGATTAATACAACGGTAGGTAACTTTTTTAAAACGCACACAACGCTATACGGTGTGTCCACAGCATCACCATGGAGGTCAAGCCCGGCAGTCTGGTCGCCGTGGTGGGGACTGTGGGGTGTGGCAAGTCATCTCTACTGACCGCCATTTTGGGGGAGATGGAGAAATTATCTGGCAACGTCACAGTCAAAGTAGGTCATTCGCTGACGTCATGCTGATGTGGTTCCTTCTAGAGACTCTTGTGGTCGAGCCACCAGCGTTTGGCTCACACGTTAACTTTAGCGCTAAGTAAATTAAATAGTCGGACATACGGAATTATCGAGTTCAATTTTGTTGAAGATATCATGGAATTCGGTTTTGTTGGAGATATCGTGGCATTAGGTTTTGTTGTAATAGATTTATAATGATCAGTCAAACGAACTAAATTGTAAGACGATTTACTAGTTTGTTTTTGAACTCGTAAATACTTAAATTAAATTATTTCCAGTAATTAAAGTAATGTTAAATGCAACTGTTCACGTGACTTCCCAGGATTCCATCGCCTACGTGCCGCAGGAGGCGTGGATCCAGAATGCCACACTGAGGAACAACATCCTGTTCGGTTCGGAATACAACCGCAGACGATACGACAAGGTCGTGGATGCGTGCGCACTCAAGGCAGACCTTGACCTTCTGCCGGGAGGTGACATGACGGAAATAGGAGAAAAGGTCAGTCTGGTCTCGCTGGAGCTAATTGTGCTGGGAACTGTTAGAGCGATTAAATGTCTAATTAATGATTCTAACATCGTTTTTAAAAAATATAATAAAGTGATTTTTTGTAATGAAAAAATAACAAAATGAAAGGCGAATTATTAGAAACGCAGGGATTATATTTTAAAATATCAGAGACATAAATTAATAATGAATAAAAATGAACAAATAACAAATAAATGATGAATAAATAATTAGAAAATATAAATAAAATGAATAAATACAAAGAAATGTACATTTTCAATGCCCCCTCAAAAATTATATTTAAAAATGTAAGAGACGAAAATAATGAACACATAATTTGTTTAATGCCCTGAAATAGATTATATAATAATGTGTTAAATGCCCAGATATCGATTACGTAATGTGCTTTAATGTCCTGATATATATTACAAAATGTGCTTTAGTGCCCTGATATAGATTACATAATCTGTTTTAATGCCCTCCAGGGCATCAACATCTCGGGAGGGCAGAAGCAGCGCGTGTCGCTAGCACGTGCTGTCTACAGCAACAACGCCATCTACCTACTGGATGACCCACTTAGCGCCGTGGACAGTCACGTGGGCAAGCACATCTTCCAGGAGGTCATCGGGCCAAAGGGTTTCCTCAGAGACAAGGTAGGTCGTCTAGTCTAGAGTCAGTGGAGTGTTTATATGGGGAGCTAGGCTGCTAACCTGAAAGTCGCGAGTTCGAATCCGGGTTCGTCAGTAGAATTTCTCTGAGTCCAGCCTGCTCTGATGGGTACCTAAGTCATGTTTGGGAAAACAAAGGCGAATGGGCATAGTGCTGACCACACTATCCCTTCATATGCCGAAGTTTCTGAAGCATATGAACTCTATTTCATCTTCCCCATGTGTCTTGCGCACGAACAGGAAAAGATAATGATGATTTATATTAAGGGGTGGGGGTTAAAAGGATGCCATGTAACATTTTTTGGTGAAATCAACACAAAGGGAATTTTGGAATTTGACGACTAATTGGATGTTTACAAAACAAAAGAGTACTAACTGACTCACTTAGTTTAAGTCACATACACGATGGTCTATGAGTCATGTACATCAGCATAGCCTCTCATTGAGTCTTCAATAAACGCCCTAATTAATGATAGTTAAACCTGATTGTATACTTTAAGTACACACACAATTCACGCAGTTGGGAGAAAATAATATACACATTATAACGTTGGTTTGTTGTTCATGATCTGGGACATTCACTGCTAATTAAACTTTAAATTAATTATGTCGATCCAGCGTAAATTTAGCTTGATGGATATCTAAACTTTAACATGAGACGTTTACTGCACTAAACTAAAACTTAAGGTCGTTATCCCACTTCACGTTAACCTGACGTTAAACTGACGTTAACCAGACGTTTACCTGACGTTAACTTGACGTTTTGACGGTTCCAGACCCGCATCCTTGTGACGCACGGCATCCAGTGGCTGCCGTTTGTCGACTCCATCATCGTGATGACCAATGGCGTCATCAGCGAGCAGGGGACGTACGAGGAGCTGATGTCACGTGACGGCGCCTTCGCCCAGTTCCTGAAAGAGTACATCCAGCAGGACAAGAACACGGACACAGACACGGACACGGACTCGGAGAGTGGGTCAAGTTGCTGGTCGGTTTGGGGGTTGGTTGGTCAAGTTGGTGGTCGGTGGTTAATCGGTTTGGTGGTTGGTTGGTTTAGTGGTTTGTTGGTTTGGTGGTTGGTTTGGGGGTTGGTTGGTTTGGTGGTTGGTTTGGGGGTTGGTTGGTCAAGTTGGTGGTTGGTTTGGTGGTTGGTTTGGTGGTTGGTTTGTTTGGTGGTTGGTTGGGTTGTTTGTTCGTCTGTTTGGTGGTTGGTCGGTTTGGTGGTTGGTCGGTTTGTTTGTTGGTCATTTTGGTGGTGGTTGGTTTGTTTGTAAATCGTTTTGTTGGTTTGTCTTTTTGGTGGTAGGTCGTTTTGTTTGTTGGTCGTTCTAGTAATACTTATATAGACTCCTTAAGGTAATCACATTTTTATAGCAGGTCATTTTCATTATGTCACTATTTTAGTTTGTCGACACTTTTAAGTTAGTTATTTTGTTTAAATTTGTCTATCTGATTTATGGTCAATATTTAGCTGGTTATTTTTTACTCTGTCCCTTTAATAGAAGACCAATGTTTGGGGGAAAATTTTCACTTTCTGTTTCGCTAACTCAACACATTTTCATGCAATCAGTTTATTGAACCTAAGGGCTTACATACAGCTTACATACATAGTGACATAAGACTTTTTCACCTGCCTACAGTTGAAGCCATCAAACGATCGGTCCTGCAGAGGGTGGAATCAATCACTGGTCACGTGATCGACGGGGTCTCGTCAGCAGACGACAGAGAAAAGTAAGTCCAGCTGACAGCCTTCACTGATGGTCTGGTAGTTGAGGCACTTTTTAAATGATTTTCTTCTCGGCCTCACAACCAGCACGCTCCTGGTTTGATACCTACACCATGGTTCTACAGTTTTATTCACATTTTAATAAATTTCGATGTACTTTGTTAAACAATAACATCGATAATAGATTACGCATTGCATTGTTTAAAAAAAACCCCACCGCACCCATCTAATACACAACTAAAATCTTGTTTCAACTGAATAAACAAGCTTATCACCGTGTCGCATTCTTACTGTAATGTCTAACCCATCAAAACGGACGAAACAGCAGCCCTTATCCGACATATTGGTTAGCTTTTTATTTCACACTCTATGACCAGGGTTTCATTCAGGTATTTTATTCGGGTGGGGGGGGGGGGTGACTGGAAAATTCACGTGGTAGGGATAATTGGTTAAAGCATGTCTTTTTAAAGAAATGAGCGTTTGCTTCGTCTAGAAAAAGAGCCCACTCCCTCCCCCGCACACACACCATCCGAAGAATATTCCGAAAGAAACCCTATGATGTATCTGTAGTCTCTAACCCACCATCTTTCTGTCTCCAGAAGTTTGAGCGGCCTGTCCGGGTCGGCGCGTCACAAGCAGCGACCCAGACCCAAGCGTCAGTCGTCCAAGCTGGAGTCGAGAAGGAGGCGGGACAACTCCTTCATGGAGTCAGCGACTCACCTCCTGGGGGACATGGAGTCATCCTTGACCTTGCACAAATCTGGGGCGTCGTCCGCGGCCGCCATAGCCGGGGAGCGGCTGATCGAGGATGAGACGGGGGCTGCCGGGAAGGTATGTCACGTGGAGTTCACTGAGACTCACGTCTGCTGTTGCAGATCCAGAGGCGTAGCGAGGGGTGGGGGATGGGCGGGGGGTGGCGCCAAAAAGGTTTGGAAAAACAAATTGAAAGTTCGAGGCGAGGGGGGGGGGGGTGGGTGCGAATCGAAAGTTTGTCCCCGGGCGCCGGGAAGGGTCGCTACGCTTTTGTGCAGATCTAACTTTTCTTTCGGCAACATATGGTTTCTGTGTGAATATGTACAAGGAAAAGGGGTTATAGATCGTTAGGGAATCTGTGCTTGGCTACAAGCTCCAAAATATATGTAGAAATAATGTTTAGGTGCGATTCATGTAAATTATTTCGCTAATTTTGAAAGCAGGACTTATGGAAATATGAAACACTGAGAAAAATAAACCAAAGGTTATAAATTTTAAGGTATTTAGAAAAATTGAGATGATGATTATTGATGCTGAATTCATCATCGTTATTTGTTCACGTTCATGCCAAGGACATTTGGCTCAGATGAAGTAGAGTTTATCTGTTTCAATGACTTCGACATTGGAGGCATAGTGTGGTCAGCACCTTGCCCAGCTGTTTCCTTAAAGTAATTCAGGCACAGAGGCGTAGCGACCCTTCCCAGGCGCCCGGGGACAAACTTTCAATTTGGCCCCACCCTCATACTTTTTTTATATTTATAATGCAAAACTGCAACTAAAATGAGCTTTCAATTTTTTTCTAACCCATTTTCGCGCCCCCTAGGGTCGGCGCCCGGGTACATATGTCCCCCCACCCCCCTCGCTACGCCTCTGGGCAGGCACTCACAACATGAATGTGGTTACTGTATGATGGTACTTGTATGACGGTAACTGTATTTAATAAATGTATGATCGTTACTGTATAATGGTACTTGTCTAATGGTACCTGTATGATGGTAACGTTGATGTATCCACTGTATGATGATACCTGTATGATGTTACCTGTATGATGTTACCTGTATGATGTTACCTTATAATGATATCTGTATGATATTACCTTTATCCAGGTGAAGTTCGCCATCTACCTCCACTACTTCCGCGCCATCGGCCTGCCGTTGTTCCTTACCTCAATACTCACCTACACCATGTACTCAGCCGCCTCCGTCTTCTCAGGTCAAACTTTTTTATTTGAACCTCAATACTCACCTACACCATGTACTCAGCCGCCTCCGTCTTCTCAGGTCAAACTTTTTAATTTGAACCTCAATACTCACCTACACCATGTACTCAGCCGCCTCCGTCTTCTCAGGTCAAACTTTTTTATTTGAACCTCAATACTCACCTACACCATGTACTCAGCCGCCTCCGTCTTCTCAGGTCAAACTTTTTTATTTGAACCTCAATACTCACCTACACCATGTACTCAGCCGCCTCCGTCTTCTCAGGTCAAACTTTTTTATTTTAACCTCAATACTCACCTACACCATGTACTCAGCCGCCTCCGTCTTCTCAGGTCAAACTTTTTTATTTGAACCTCAATACTCACCTACACCATGTACTCAGCCGCCTCCGTCTTCTCAGGTCAAACTTTTTTATTTGAACCTCAATACTCACCTACACCATGTACTCAGCCGCCTCCGTCTTCTCAGGTCAAACTTTTTTATTTGAACCTCAATACTCACCTACACCATGTACTCAGCCGCCTCCGTCTTCTCAGGTCAAACTTTTTTATTTGAACCTCAATACTCACCTACACCATGTACTCAGCCGCCTCCGTCTTCTCAGGTCAAACTTTTTTATTTGAACCTCAATACTCACCTACACCATGTACTCAGCCGCCTCCGTCTTCTCAGGTCAAACTTTTTTATTTGAACCTCAATACTCACCTACACCATGTACTCAGCCGCCTCCGTCTTCTCAGGTCAAACTTTTTTATTTGAACCTCAATACTCACCTACACCATGTACTCAGCCGCCTCCGTCTTCTCAGGTCAAACTTTTTTATTTGAACCTCAATACTCACCTACACCATGTACTCAGCCGCCTCCGTCTTCTCAGGTCAAACTTTTTTATTTGAACCTCAATACTCACCTACACCATGTACTCAGCCGCCTCCGTCTTCTCAGGTCAAACTTTTTTATTTGAACCTCAATACTCACCTACACCATGTACTCAGCCGCCTCCGTCTTCTCAGGTCAAACTTTTTTATTTGAACCTCAATACTCACCTACACCATGTACTCAGCCGCCTCCGTCTTCTCAGGTCAAACTTTTTTATTTTAACCTCAATACTCACCTACACCATGTACTCAGCCGCCTCCGTCTTCTCAGGTCAAACTTTTTTATTTGAACCTCAATACTCACCTACACCATGTACTCAGCCGCCTCCGTCTTCTCAGGTCAAACTTTTTTATTTGAACCTCAATACTCACCTACACCATGTACTCAGCCGCCTCCGTCTTCTCAGGTCAAACTTTTTTATTTGAACCTCAATACTCACCTACACCATGTACTCAGCCGCCTCCGTCTTCTCAGGTCAAACTTTTTTATTTGAACCTCAATACTCACCTACACCATGTACTCAGCCGCCTCCGTCTTCTCAGGTCAAACTTTTTTATTTGAACCTCAATACTCACCTACACCATGTACTCAGCCGCCTCCGTCTTCTCAGGTCAAACTTTTTTATTTGAACCTCAATACTCACCTACACCATGTACTCAGCCGCCTCCGTCTTCTCAGGTCAAACTTTTTTATTTGAACCTCAATACTCACCTACACCATGTACTCAGCCGCCTCCGTCTTCTCAGGTCCTCTTTTATTTGAACCTCAAACACTTCTTAGCCTCTAACCATTCGTTACGGTTGTTATCATATTTTTAGTTACATAAGATTTGCCAGAATGCTTGAAGCAAATATAAACGAATGGCGAACATATAAAACTGAATTCAGACGATTTTACTTACAAATGTGGAGTTTTCAAAATGGAGGGTAAAATAAAGTCTATTAACACAAAAGCCAGTTTTTTATGTATTCAAATATATTTATTCTTTAATGTTTTAAATTATTTGTTATCAAACAGATACAATACTTTAAATATTACCGAACTCAATCTCATTTCTTTTGCGATCTTTTCAAAACGACAAGTGGATGAACTATTCTGAAGATATTAAGTCAAAATTGCAGAATGTAGTTTTTAGACAAAGCTATGTTGATCCTCATACGATTGGCTGTTGAAACATCACGTGGCTGACACGTGCTATATACGTCACGTGGCTGACACGTGCTCTATTTGACCCTGACCTTGCAGGTATCTGGCTGAGCATGTGGACGGACGACGATCTTCTGCTGAACACGTCACGGTCTGGTGAGCAGGAGTACGAGGACCGGGGGAACCTCTACCTGGGGGTGTACGCTGCCAGTGGCATCGGTCAAGGTGAGCCCGGGGGGGGGGGGCGTTGTCGTGGCAACTTGTGGTGAATCACAGGTGCAATAGTTGTCCCAAACACCTGAAGTAAATGATAAATGCAGTAACTGGGATTGCCATGACAACCGTGACGTTGTTGAACGTCACGTCATAATGATTAGGAAATGTAATGGTGTGTCAATGGAATTTGGTTTAGCTATTTAGTTGTATTAATTAGATAAGTAGAGGCTGCTTTAATGAAGTTTCTAATTTGCCAGGTAATTTAATGAAGTTTCTAATTGGTCAGGTATTTTAATGAAGTTTCTAATTGACCAGGTATTTTAATAAAGTTTCTAATTGGCCAGGTATTTTAATGAAGTTTCTAATTGGCCAGGTATTTTAATGAAGTTTCTAATTGGCCAGGTATTTTAATGAAGTTTCTAATTGGCCAGGTATTTTAATGAAGTTTCTAATTGGCCAGGTATTTTAATGAAGTTTCTAATTGGCCAGGTATTTTAATGAAGTTTCTAATTGGCCAGGTATTTTAATGAAGTTTCTAATTGGCCAGGTATTTTAATGAAGTTTCTAATTGGCCAGGTATTTTAATGAAGTTTCTAATTGGCCAGGTATTTTAATCCTGATATTTGCCCTCATCTCTGCCTTCAAGATGACGGACGCTGCTGGAAAACTCCATCAGGTGGGTGGGCTATGTCTGTTTGGTAGGTTGGTAGGTTGGTAGGTTGGTAGTTTGGTAGGTTGGTAGGTTGGTAGGTTGGTAGGTTGGTAGGTTAATTGGTTGATTGGTTGATTGGTTGATAGGTTGATAGGTTGATTGGTTGATAGGTTGATTGGTTGATATGTTGATTGGTTGATTGGTTGATTGGTTGATTGGTTGATTGGTTTATTGGTTGATTGATTGATTGATTGATTGGTTGATTGGTTGCTTGGTTGCTTGGTTGATTGATTAATTAGTAAATTGGTTGATTGGTTTATTGGTTGATTGGTTGCTTGGTTGATAGGTTGATTGGTTGTTTGATTTGTTGATTGGTTGATAGGTCGATTGATTGTGGGTTAATAGTTTGATCGTTACGTGTATAACACTTTTCTTAATGCCTGGCTGATAGGTAGAAAGGCTGATTGGTCAACTATATAACAATTGGCTCAACCTTTGGTTAATAGGATGATAGGTTGATTGGTTGATAGGTTGATAGGTCAACTGTATAACACTTCGCTCATTGTCTGGTTAAATGGTTGATTGGTTGATTTGTCATCAATACAACCATAATTCACTATTCGTCCATGCTAGCTACTAAAGTGAAGCGCAGACAATCTTTCTGGTGTGATGGAAAATAGATTCTACCTAAACAATTCAACAAAACATCAGCAAAACATCAACAAAACATCAACAAAACATTAACAAAACATCAACAAAACATCAACAAAACATTAACAAAACATCAACAAAACACCAACAAAACATCAGCTAAACATCAACAAAACATCAACAAAACATCAACAAAACATCAACAAAACATTAACAAAACATCAACAAAACATCAACAAAACATCAACAAAACATCAACAAAACATCAACAAAACATTAACTAAACATCAACAAAACATTAACAAAATATCAACTGAGTAATTTAAAAAAGTTAATTAAGCAAGTGATATAAATAAATGTCACTCTGACGTATTGATAGGTTAGACTAATTAAGACGTTAACACGTTGATAGCCGGAACAAAATGTCACGTGGACATACTGATAGACCAGAGAAAATGTCGGTCTGACGTGTTTGATCTAACAAAATGTCACACACTGACACATCATACATAAAGTGTATTGACATGTGGACAGACCATACAACCAGCCATGTAATTTGTTGACACAAGTAGAATGAACTTTGCTTTTTTCTCCCCCCCCCCCAGTTGATGCTGGAGAACGTGATGAGGTCACCCATGTCTTTCTTCGACACGACCCCTGGCGGCAGGATCGTCAACAGGTTCTCACGTGACGTGGAGGTCATAGACAACTCCCTGCCCGCCACCATGAAACAGGTGGACATTTAGTTACCTCAGTCTGGACATTTTTAGTTACACGACATTTTGTTACCTCAATCTGGACATTTTTAGTTACACGACATTTTGTTACCTCAGTCTGGACATTTTTAGTTACACGACATTTTGTTACCCCAATGTGGACATTTTTAGTCACACGATATTTTGTTAACTCAATCTGGACATTTTTAGTTACACGACATTTTGTTACCTCAATCTGGACATTTTTAGTCACACGATATTTTGTTAACTCAATCTGGACATTTTTAGTTACACGACATTTTGTTACCTCAATCTGGACATTTTTAGTAACACGAAATTTTGTTGGACATTTTAGTTACACAACATTTTGTTGGAAATTTTAGTTACACGACATTTTGTAACCTCAGTCTGGACATTTTAGTTACACGACATTTTGTTACCTAAATCTGGACATTTTAGTTACACGACATTTTGTTACCTAAATCTGGACATTTTAGTTACACGGGATTTTGTTGGACAGTTTAGTTGCACGACATTTCGTTACCTAAATCTGGACATTTTAGTAACTGGACATTCTGTTAGACATTTTAATTACACATTTTGGTAAATATTTAAGTAATGCGACATTTTGTAGGATATTTTTGTTACACATTTTGTTGTTGTTTATTATGATAAAGTTGTTGTAGTACAACCCGAGTTATATTTATTTTAGACACTCAGGATATACAGCGACTGAATATTATTTCAAAATATTGTATATTTAGTACAAACTAGCAAAATCAATTGCTAAGTATTATTCGTTGATTGCAAGACGAATTGAATTGTTTTATCGTTAGACTGTTTGATTACTAGAACTGATCTAACACCTTGTGCATGTACCTGCTCCACCCACAGAGTCTGAACTGTCTGGGACGTGTCCTGACCACCATCGTCACCATCTCCTACGGTACTCCCATCTTCCTGAGTGTCATGGTCCCTCTGGCCATCATCTACATACTCATACAGGTAAGTGAATCCATTTCATACAGGTAAGTGAATCCATTTCATACAGGTAAGTGAATCCATTTTATACAGGTAAGTGAATCCATTTTATACAGGTAAGTGAATCCATTTTATACAGGTAAGTGAATCCATTTCATACAGGTAAGTGAATCCATTTCATACAGGTAAGTGAATCCATTTTATACAGGTAAGTGAATCCATTTTATACAGGTAAGTGAATCCATTTTATACAGGTAAGTGAATCCATTTTATACAGGTAAGTGAATCCATTTTATACAGGTAAGTGAATCCATTTTATACAGGTAAGTGAATCCATTTTATACAGGTAAGTGAATCCATTTTATACAGGTAAGTGAATCCTTTTCATACAGGTAAGTGAATCCATTTCATACAGGTAAGTGAATCCATTTTATACAGGTAAGTGAATCCATTTTATACAGGTAAGTGAATCCATTTTATACAGGTAAGGGAATCCATTTTATACAGGTAAGTGAATCCATTTTATACAGGTAAGTGAATCCATTTTATACAGGTAAGTGAATCCATTTTATACAGGTAAGTGAATCCATTTCATACAGGTAAGTGAATCCATTTCATACAGGTAAGTGAATCCATTTCATACAGGTAAGTGAAGCCATTTCATACAGGTAAGTGAATCCATTTCATACAGGTAAGTGAATCCATTTTATACAGGTAAGTGAATCCATTTTATACAGGTAAGGGAATCCATTTTATACAGGTAAGTGAATCCTTTTCATACAGGTAAGTGAATCCATTTCATACAGGTAAGTGAATCCATTTTATACAGGTAAGTGAATCCATTTTATACAGGTAAGTAAATCCATTTTATACAGGTAAGTGAATCCATTTCATACAGGTAAGTGAATCCATTTCATACAGGTAAGTGAATCCATTTTATACAGGTAAGTGAATCCATTTTATACAGGTAAGGGAATCCATTTTATACAGGTAAGTGAATCCATTTTATACAGGTAAGTGAATCCATTTTATACAGGTAAGTGAATCCATTTTATACAGGTAAGTGAATCCATTTCATACAGGTAAGTGAATCCATTTCATACAGGTAAGTGAATCCATTTCATACAGGTAAGTGAAGCCATTTCATACAGGTAAGTGAATCCATTTCATACAGGTAAGTGAATCCATTTTATACAGGTAAGTGAATCCATTTTATACAGGTAAGTGAATCCATTTTATACAGGTAAGTGAATCCATTTTATACAGGTAAATGAATCCATTTTATACAGGTAAGTGAATCCATTTTATACAGGTAAGTGAATCCATTTTATACAGGTAAGTGAATCCTTTTCATACAGGTAAGTGAATCCATTTCATACAGGTAAGTGAATCCATTTTATACAGGTAAGTGAATCCATTTTATACAGGTAAGTAAATCCATTTTATACAGGTAAGTGAATCCATTTCATACAGGTAAGTGAATCCATTTCATACAGGTAAGTGAAGCCATTTCATACAGGTAAGTGAATCCATTTCATACAGGTAAGTGAATCCATTTCATACAGGTAAAATAGTTCTATCTCATCCAGGTTAATGGCTCCATGTCATCCTTGTTACGTGGTTTTATCTATTCCCAGCATGTTTTCTTTAGTGGAACTTTTTTAGTTAAAATCGATATTAAACACAATTTGCTTAAAATCGCGTTTTGCAAAGCTTCTTAGTCTGACTGAGGCCTGCATAGGCAAGAAGATTAGAGTTATGATAACGTTATATTTTAGAAATCTGATATATACTAGTGAACCATTTGATCAATTATCTTTTTTAGTGTCCGTCGACTTTAACACACCATCAGATTTCATTGATTAGAATTATAATTTCCCATATTTCAGTATACATATAGCCAATATACGGTTAGAGATCGAATACATACCTTGCATCAGCAATTTTAACTTTACCTGACCGGCGCCGATACAACTGTCTTAACATCTTTGCCTGAGTCGCTGGATCCAGGCTAACACAACCTCAGCCACCAAACACAACCCAGCCAACCCCGCCCCACCCGCCACCACACACAACAGCAGGACGATTCTAGAAAACCCTATTGGCGCCTGGTCGTTGACCTTGGTGGCTGCAGTGTTGGCGGGCTGGTAGTCGTGGAGTTGAAAGGTCAAATGTAGTTCCTGGAGGTTGAGCAGAGAGCGGTAGAGCTCGTCTCGGTAGAAGCAGCGTGTGGGCAGGCCGATGTAGTCGAGGTTGATGCTGGGAACTACGCCTTCGTGAAGTCACGAAGGCGTAGTTCCCTTCTAGAACTTTCTCCACGTGGTACGTGAAGTTTTCGCTGAACGTCATGGGGTTGGTGGAGTTCAGTTCTAGAAGTTTCCGCCATGTGCGGGACAGCACCGGGTCATCAGCAGACGACTTAAGCAGCGTCATCAACGCCGTCATCTTCTTGTTGATGCCCAGCTGCATCTCAGGGTGTTGCAGTAGGTCGTCCAGGGAGGTCAAGGTCAACTCTCTTGACCTGACGGCGAAGGTGGTCGTCATGTAGGCGCTGTAGGCGCTGCCCACGATGATCCAGAAAATTCCCCATGACGCCTTGAGGATCCTGCCAGATTGGCTAGCGCAGGCCTTGTCTTCGTCAAGACAACAGTGGCCAGGGAATTTCCAAAGGTCTCTGCAAAGTTTTAAACTCTGATTGAAATAAAGATTGGATCGAGAACTAGCCACAAACAGCACATATATGTAAAAAAGTAAACATTTCTCACAATGTATCAAAATCTATAAATTAAATTAAGCCATCAATTATTTTTAATATATTTCATGATCAAATCAATTTTTTATAGTTTAATCCTAAAATAAAACTATTATGTACAATCTACACATTTATAGTGTGTTTTTTAACAAACCGATAACTGGTCGTAGATTTTATCTAATTTCAAATCTCTTGAACCCAAACTAAAAATAAACCAGTTACCTAAAACTGCTCAGTGTGAGTGGCTGTGGGCTGGCTGACGTGCACGAGCGGGTGGCCACATGGACCACCACGCCCACCACAGCCGTGAAACACAGCGGGCCGAGCAGGAAAACCACAAACTCTGGGGACACGATGTCCAGCAGGGTCGTGTCCAGACTGTTCCCGGGGGTGGGGAGTCTGTAGAGGATGTTGTTGGACCAGAGGCTGATGGGGGAGGGGACGTAATCGATGTGGCCCAGGCGGTTGTCGATCATGGACAGCGACATGGAGAAGGCCGCTTCCCGTCTGACCAGATGGCCTATGATTAAAGGAAATTTTTGCCAGGTTATGTTGTTCAAGAAATTTTTATACGGGAATGTTTCAATTAGGCAGTGAACAAATGAAAAACTCGTCAATTGTGAAATATTTGTCTATGTTTAGTGTTTGACCAGCAATAACAGAAAGAGCTGACTACTTACTGGTGACTCCAGGGTAAAGGAACTTGTTCGACTAATCTGTGACGCGAAGGGAAAAAAGGAACGTTTTTGACTTACCTGTGACTCCTGTGGCGCCTTCATGCGTGACGGCGCCGGAAACCCCCCCGTCCTCCACCTGCAGCACGTGATACCCGAACCCTAGCATGGCAGACAACATCCGCACCAGAGACAGGAACGCGTCATTCTTCAACTGCATGCAGTCGCCGTCGTGGCACTGTGTGACGTTATCGGCATCCGGGACGAACACGGACACGGGGAGGTCAAGGCCATCCAGTGAAGATTTCTGCGAGCTGAGGTAGACTCGCGCGTGCGTCCTGAGTTTTCGTGACGTCACCAGCTCAGACACGGCGTCTGTGAGAGTTACGTTCCCCTGATGTGTCGCTATTAATAGCTCTGGATCCGTTGTTATGTCAGGAGCGGATCCCGAACTGATATTAAATCTTGCTACAATGTCGATGTTTGGTTTTCGTGAAGACTGGGCTATAAATAGAACATTTGCGCCGGATGTAAAGATAAAGGTGTTGAAATCTGGCCGATATTGTAGCTTGTGTATAAAACACAAACAGTCGCAGGGTGTGACGACTACCCACTCGGCCACATGCCTCAAGGCCGTCCATCTGAATCTGACGTCATAGCCTACGGTAGTCAGGAGCGTTGTGACGTAGTCTTGTGACGTAGACAACAAAAACACGGACTTGATGTTGGAAGACAGAGATATGACAGACCAATTTGTCTGTATGACAGTTAAAATGTCCAGCACGACAAATTTAACGTCAGGTTCCGATTGAGCTAGAAAAACTTGCAGGTTTAACGCCTTTGTTTCTGTCCAAGAGTCGAACAATATGTAGATGACGTCATTGACGTAGTTCCTTCTCTCGCTGACCGGGCCCGAGACCTGGCGCTGGACATCGTACACAAGTCGAGTCAGCTGAGTCAGGTGACTCCAAATTTCTGACTCTATATTTGTAACATTTAAAATTTCTGGCACACGTGTGTTGCCATAGTTCATCAAGACTGAAATCCCAACTCCAAATATGTATACATTTAATAACCAAGCCATTCAGCTAATATTTTACACATCTAATTAAAAATTAAAATATTAAACACGCACACATATTTATTTACTAAAATTGAATACCTTTACATGTAATATTACTTTACATTCAAACTATTAATCAATGGCCTTAATAGAATGTAATTTAATTTTTCTCCAAATTTAATCGACGTAGCAAAATAATACGATACATACTTTAAATGTTAATCAATTACGTTTACACATTTTGAACTAAAATAGACGGATCACTATTAATGTTACCCAAACAACACTTCCATGCCATGTAATAATGTCAGTTTTCGAGAATGTTCTATCCGTGGAGTGTGTTTACACGTAGGTCAGTTCATAGAAGCCAACAACATAAGCACAACATACATGACACTACGCATCCTAATGAGCCAATGGAATCCCGCGTCACATCGCTGGTTAACACAACAATTAGAGAGACGGCTATTGATTGGTCCATTGGATGTTTGACTCAGTGGGTGTCGTAATGGGCTAATGCCATCCCAGTCATTGCATGCTTTCATTTAGTTCAAATAATGTAACAATACAGTTTCAGTGTGAGGTAAACGTGATCGATTTGTTGCCTATACAGGTGGGGTTGATTTCTATTTACAATACATTCTATACCTGGACATTTAGAGATGGGAAATTTAAAGGGTTGTATTTGTTAAATGCGGCTTTATGTTTGAAAAGGTTAGTGTTAACAAATTTGAACTAAACCGTTCTACAATGTAGAGAAATATGAACACAGGAAAATGTCGATTTGAAAATATATTCTTCGACCCTATTGTTCTCGATTCATTTAGAAGAAAATTAGATTAACCAGTCCTGTAATATAAGTAAACATACACTTAATACACCAAGAGAACAGCAAACATCGTGTGTATAATTGTGACAATGGTTGATAGATAACATAAACATTTCCAAAAGAAAAAAACCATTTTAAAAATGTATGAACATTTGTATAAGAAATAAAAAAAAATCCAGACATTGATAGAAAATGTTTTATTCTTTTCTCGCTAACGGTCTTAGTTTCACAAATAAGTCTGCCCCTGTTAGTAAACTTACAACTGATCCCTGAAATACACACTTCCTCTCGTTTATTTAACGCCCTTATAGATGTCTAACCCTACTTTGACCTTGACCCCAGGTGACCTACATCCCGACGTCGAGACAGCTGAGGAGGATCGACTCCATCACCCGCTCCCCCATCTACACGCACTTCTCAGAGACCCTGTCTGGCGCGGCTTCGATCCGGGGCTACGGGGTGCAGGAGCGCTTCGTACAGGAGTCAAAACACAGGGTGGACCACAACTTCAAGTTCTACTTCGCTGGCATCGCCGCAAATACGTGAGTTGTCGCCCTTGTTCTAGTCACATCATGTGAGTTGTTGCTCTTGTTCTAGTCACACCATGTGAGTTGTTGCTCTTGTTCTAGTCACACCACGTTAGTTATCGCCCTTGTTCTAGTCACACCACGTTAGTTATCGCCCTTGTTCTAGTCACATCACGTTAGTTATCGCCCTTGTTCTAGTCACACCTCGTTAGTTGTTGCTCTTGTTCTAGTCACACCACGTTAGTTGTTGCTCTTGATCTAGTCACACCACGTAAGTTATCACCCTTGTTCTAGTCACACCACGTTAGTTGTTGCTCTTGATCTAGTCACACCACGTAAGTTATCACCCTTGTTCTAGTCACACCACGTGAGTTGTTGCTCTTGTTCTAGTCACACCACGTTAGTTGTCTCCCTTTTTCTTGTCACATCACGTGATATGTCGCCCTTACTCTGGTCAGAACTGATGAGTTATTGCCCTTGTTCTATACAACACGTGTGTTGTCTCCCTTTTCTGTACAACATATAATTTGTTGCTTTTGGTAAAACCAGAACACCTGAGTTGTCTGACTTTCGTTTGTCAAAACACACTAGCTCCGATATCAGTTCTAGATTGGATTCAAGCTAGGATTACTTTGTACTGTACAATATATACAAACATAGGGTTATTGTGTTGGTACGGCCAAGCGGAAGAACTCTTGATTGCTCTAATCAGAATCTCGTCATGTAACACGTATGGGGAGAGGAAAGATGGCTGGGCATTGTGTTGACCACACTTTCCTTTTTTTACGAGAAAAGAGAAACAGATGCACTCTACTCCATATGTGAGTTCTTAACATCACGAAAACATAAGCTACACAACAGGTTTTACTTAATGAGTGGAAACTATTTTAAGGTTTAGGACAATAGGTTGGGTTAGTGTTTGAAATTATTGAAAGCCTCAAAATTTTGTCTAAAAACCTACGGCATTATTTTGATATAAATCTTATTGCAGCCTATTGTAGGCGAAGATTAACGTTGTTGTTGCTTAATTTACCAATGGACATAAAGTTTAACACAAGTAAACATAAGGACAACAAGCTAACGTTTCCCTAATTTTGTTTACCACAGATGGCTGGGGTTCCGCCTCCAGTTCCTCGGGAACCTTGTGGTGCTAGCTGCAGCCATATTTGCTGTCGCCAGCACCGACATAGACACGGGGATTGTGGGACTGTCAGTGTCATACGCCACACAGGTGAGACACGTTTGAAGGCTGTCAGTATGTTTGGCTGATTCAAGTTGTGTTTTGTCAGTTGTCAGTATGTTTGGCTGACTCAAGTTGTGTTTTGTCAGTTGTCAGTATGTTTGGCTGATTCAAGTTGTGTTTTGTCAGTTGTCAGTATGTTTGGCTGACTCAAGTTGTGTTTTGTCAGTTGTCAGTATGTTTGGCTGACTCAAGTTGTGTTTTGTCAGTTGTCAGTATGTTTGGCTGACTCAAGTTGTGTTTTGTCAGTTGTCAGTATATTTGGCTGACTCAAGTTGTGTTTTGTCAGTTGTCAGTATGTTTGGCTGACTCAAGTTGTGTTTTGTCAGTTGTCAGTATGTTTGGCTGACTCAAGTTGTGTTTTGTTAGTTGTCAGTATGTTTGGCTGACTCAAGTTTCTTGTTTAACTTTATTTTAATCACAATGTTCACAATTTTGGACGACATTAGATTCTAATTTAATTTGAACCATTTTGTTAGTCTGTCAAATTATTGTCGGACAGTGAATTAAAAACCAATTTTTAGTTAAATTAAGACATCAACGTTAAAACAATTTCTATTCTAAACAATTTTAAGTAAAATAAATAAAAAAAACAACAACCGAGAACATTACATTTTTAGGTTTAATGCATTTTTAATTAAAAATAAAGTTTTTAATTTTGTCCATATTTCCATAACGGTGAAACATGGCATATTCGGGGTCATAGGTTAATTACGTCAGCTTCTAATGACGCATGTTGACGAGACGAAGATCCAGTTTTTGTGGACGTCACAGTGGTTGAGCAAGTAGGTCAGACAGATATGGTTGATTAAAATGGCCGACTGTTTAATGCGTCTGATTGATGCATATGTAATGTGCAAGTTTCAGTCTGTATGAGTATCATACTATTCTATGAAGTTTCCGTAACTTTAGTCATACGAATAAGGCATTTAATTGTGGCAAAGTGTAAGTAAATCTTAATGAATCCAATATTTTGATGATACTTCAGTAGAGTTACTATTGAGTGGTGGTTTAAAACCACTACAAAAAGTGAAGTTATTACGGAGAAGATAAATAAGCTTTTGAGATAGGAGGATGAAAGTAGAAAAACTTATGCATGGTTTGTACGGATGGTTGACCATCTCTACTTTGGTCAAGATCTGGTATTATGAAAAACGTAAAAGTACCGAGCGCAATTAAGGGGAAGTCACTCAATGGTTCATAAATATGCCAATGTCGGTAACTTTTCAGCTGAGGTAGGTCTACTTGTTTCTTCAGCTGAGGTAGGTCTACTTGTTTCTTCAGCTGAGGTAGGTCTACTTGTTTCTTCAGCTGAGGTAGGTCTACTTGTTTGGCTAAAACAACAAATCAGGTGCACTCAATACCCGTCTGTTTGAAGATCGGTGCATGCATTTTGGATGAGGTACGCCCATAGCCTTAAGGAAATGTGAATCATGTCTTAGAATCGAAAGATGAGCTTAAAACTTATTCCTGGACAGCAGGTGAATCATGACCATTCGTTCAAACGAAAAAAAAAACTTGGTTTAAAATAGCAGTATGTCGCGGAGTTATATAGAAAAAGCAACAAAGGTTTAATCCAAAACTGAATGGAAATGAAACGGATATTTTCCCATTTTACCATAACCTCTGAGATGTTTGAGATCAAGATGCACTACAGACAAATAAAGTAAAATGAATCTTAAAATCATTGCCGCTTGAAACGTATCCGTTGTGTGCTAGATGAATCTTAACGTGCAATTAATGAAAAAGCGAAAAATAAAAGTACTAGGCATTCGAAAACGAACTGAAAGAATAAGAACTTTCATTGACATTCTATTTCCAATAATATAGGCAGCATAACTGATGAATAATGAGAAGAATTCTTGCATTTCTAAATGATTCATACGATCTTAAAATGTTCAGTAAATAAACCGGGAGTGATCTCCCCAAAACTTTCTCGAATATTCTTATATAAAATAACAGGGGATGGGAACTCGAGCTATAGACATGATTTTTAATCCATTTTAAATACTTAAAGTTAAAAATAGAATAAAATCTCGTAGACAAAAGAATTGCACACCAAGTGAACGCCAAAAAAAAAGTGCATAATAGTGCGCAATATTATTAGTACTTTAAAAATTTACATTAGGTTTTTGAAAAATCGGAAGTAGCGTAAATTACTACTTCCGGTCAACGGAAATTACTCAAAATTTAAAAGAAGGTAGATAATTAGATCTTATACTTACATGTGAAATTTCATTTATCTATCTGAAATAGTACTCAAGTTATAGGTTTTTGAAAAATTCAAAGTAGGAAAAGTACCACTTCCGGTTATCGGAAATCGCTCAAAAGTTGATACGGATCTACGATTTTGATAAAATACTTATATATGAAATTTCATCAACCTAGCTGTAACGGTACTCAAGTAATCGTGTTTACACACGGACAGACACACACACACACAGACAGACAGACACACAGACATACGGACATACGGACAAGATTGCAAAATTATGTTTTTCCGTATCAGTGAGGTGTAAAACGTCGAGATTTGTAAAAATCTCCAATTTTTTTTTGCACGATTACAATACTTTCTCTATACTTCGTATATACGAGAAAGTAAAAACTGTTCACACATTGATTCTGTGATATGTATATGTAACAATAATAGCTGTGTTTCGTGTATCAGTTACAAATATGGCTTCATTTCTATTATATGGAAACGACGTAACAAAAATTACACTTTCATTTTAGTTCAAAGACCGAGAAGAGAATTTGTTTGGTAGGAAAGTAATATTATTTTTTAAAAATTTATATATATATATATATATATATATATATATATATATATATATATATATATATATATATATATATATATATATATATATTAATAATACTTTTATTTGCAATTAAAACAAGTACATCAACATCAAATTCTTTACATAATTTCCAACATCAAATGAAAGCGAAAGGTTTTGCAAATGTTCATAATAAATATTTACATGATGTCATGTATGTGATTATAAAAATTGAAGAGATAGCAGTACAAGGGGTGAAGGTCAAATTACAGTGTCAGGACTCCGGGAGGAAGTGAAAAGGATATTAAAAGTAATTTTTAAAATTATAATTAAGTTGTTGTTTAGATCCACTCTAAGAGAAACCATTGAAATCGCTTACAAATTTAAAAGTTTATATTTATTTAAGTGATATCTTTATCTCAGCTAAATGTTCTTTATCGCGAATATAGTTTAATAACATCCCTAAACTTTATTTAATTTAATTACAAGACAAAACGCCACAATTTAACTTTTTAAACGCAAATTTCACATAAAATTCACTTTTCATAAATTTTATATTAAATTAACTTTTATGTAACTGTTTCCCAAGTGTATGCATTATCCACGGTTTTTTCCCTTGAAATACAAAAAATTATTAATGGGAAGTAATTATTGATTAAAAAAATTTAAATGTTATAAGCAATTTAAACGCTTTTAAAAATGCAAGATTGTAGGCCTATGTATGTGTATTATATATATATATATATATATATATATATATATATATATATATATATATATATATATATATATATATATATATATATATATGTGTGTGTGTGTGTGTGTGTATGTGTATAAACATTCTTGGATGTATTGAATATATTTTAGTTTCGCACATAGAATGTTCCACGTGTTTTAGATTTCTTACTAACAAGTTTTTCTGGTTTTATTTTAAAGCAGAAGAATTTTTTTACCACTAGAGATGTTAGTAATAAACACTTTTATTTACACACAAATAATAGAAGACAATGCTATTCTTTAAATACAATAATACATTATATATATATATATATATATATATATATATATATATATATATATATATAATATGTATATATAAATGTATATATATATATATATATATATATATATATATATATATATATATATATATATATATATATATATATATATATCGTTTAAATTGTTTGGCTACATATACCATCTACAATTTCTTGCCAGCGAATTTAAATATACACATAAACTTAGCGTTAAACATCTTTGTTTAGATGACGAGTGCCTTCGAGTTTCTGGTGACCTTGATGAGTGAGGTCGAGACAAATATTGTATCAGTAGAGAGGGTCAAGGAGTACACCGAGACGACAAGGGAGGTAAGCGATAGAAATTGTTTCGAAGAGTTACTCCCCTTGTACTATTTTACTGATGTATCTATCGATTTTAAAATCCCTTATCAACAGTTTAACTGCACAGCATTATTTATTTTTCTTTGATCACCAGTATTTTATACAAATATATATTTAAAAAGTGTCAATAAAATAGATTAATTCCTCTGTGTATTTAACATATAGTTGATTACCAGTGCTTTGTTAATTAAAGGCAATGTGGATATTAATACTAGATGGCTTTTAATGTTAAGTACACGTAAAAACGCCCATATCCATGTTCGATTTATCCTGATTGGGACGGATTGAGTCAAACCTAACCTTACACTAGGGCTTTAAAGCTCTCTTGATGTATCGTTTGATTTATCTCATTAGGCCGACTGGGTCAAACCTAACCTTACATTTGATGTATTGTTTGATTTATCTCGCTAGGCCGACTGGGTCAACCTAACCTTACACTTGATGTATCGTTTGATTTATCTCGTTAGGCTGACTGGGTCAACCTAACCTTACACTAGGGCCTTAAAGCTCTCTTGATGTATTGTTTGATTTATCGCGTTAGGCCGACTGGGTCAAGCCAGACGCCCGACCCCCACAGGACTGGCCGCCCTCTGGGCATCTGAAGTTTGAGCAGTACATGACACGGTACAGGCCAGGACTTGAACTTGTGCTCAAGGACGTCACGTGCACCATTAAAGGAGGCGAAAAAGTGAGCATTAGTTGCCCCACTCACACACTCAGAAACCCTGCTCCACCCACACACACATACCCTGTGCCCCCACACTCACAAACCCTGCCCGACCCCACACACACATACCCTGTGCCCCCACACTCACAAACCCTGCCGGACCCCACACACACATTCCCTGTGCCCCCTTCCCATCCACAAACCCTGCCCCATCCTACACTAAAAAATCCTTCCCCACAATCATAAACCCTACCCTACACTCACAAACCCTGCCCTCCCTCGCCCCACAATCACAAACTACGCCTCGTTTAAGGTACACAAGATTCTTTGTATAGCAAGTTTAGACTTAGATCTATTAAAACATTTTCCTGTAATTAAAAGATGAAGTAAATGAGAGTATGATATTTTTGTCTGGATTAAAATGTTTCCCCCTAATTAGTATACATGTTTTCTCTATTCTGAAATAATTATCCCGTTAATAAACAAGCTTTCACTGACCGTCCTTGAACTTTGAACTTCGATTCTTGTCCCAGGTTGGAATAGTGGGCAGAACAGGGGCGGGCAAGTCGTCCATGACCGTGGCCTTGTTTAGGATCATCGAGGCCGCTGGAGGGAAGATCATAATCGACGGCCTTGACATTGCAAAGTTCGGCCTGCATGACCTCAGGAGTAAGCTGACCATACTGCCACAGGTGAGAGGTAAAACTGTTGGGCCTGACCATAGGTGAGACTGACCATAGGTGAGACTGACTGCAGGTAAGACTAACCACATGTAAAACTGAGCACAGGTAATAGTAACTACAGGTAATACATACTACAGTTAAGAATGCCTACAAGTAAGACCGACAACAGATAACAATTGCCACTAGTAGGATTGACTACACGCAGGACTGACCACAGGTAGACTGATCACAGGTAAGACTGACCACACGTGCCACAAAATAGCTGTACCAGAAAACAAATACAACTGCTACAGATCACAATGACATTGTTATAAAAAATATGACTGCTAACACTCTTTGATAAAAACTGACCACACCGTCAGGGGTAAGGTGGATTCACGCCATTCTAAAACCTCCTTTTTCTCAACACTGCAGGAACCAGTCATCTTCTCTGGCACCCTGAGAATGAACCTTGACCCCTTCAACACTCACACAGACGCGGAGCTGTGGACAGCTATGGAACACGCCTACCTCAAGACCTTCGTGGAGGGGCTGCCCCAAGGGCTGGCCTACGAGTGTGGGGAGGGGGGCAGCAACCTCAGGTAAACCAACTTTACCCTAGAGGGCAATTCTCTCATAATAAAATGTTTACTCGGTCAAAACTGAAAGAGTATTCAGCTCACTCTAGAAAATAAAAAACCGCGTTTTCAAAAAAACAAACGTAACAAGCTTTCACCTTGTATCTGACAAACAAAAAATAAAATTAGCAACAGCTGAGTAGATCAGCAGCGTTGTTAGCTGTAGTGTGCCCTTACTACCTAACCTACGAATAAAGCAGCCTAATAGTTTAGACACCTTAGATTATTTTGAAGAAGAGGCTCATTGTATTGAGCAAATATTATACTAAGCAAAGGTTTCACATCTAAGAGAACGTTGGAGCTGGTTTTATGTTAATTAGCATGAGAAGTCTCATAAAGCCGGAGTTATCTGAAGTAACTTGGGCATCATTGGGAGCTGTGACTATCACACGGAGAGCTTTCTCTGGGAGCTGTGACTACCACACGGAGAGCTTTCTCTGGGAGCTGGAGTATACCAGCATCCCGGGGTTATCCCAATGGCTTGGGCTACCCAGGATCTATCCTAAGGGTCAGGGGATATCAAAGGGAGCTATCGAAACGAGATAGACCTACCCTGAAGTTATCCAAGGCAGATGAGTTATATATGGAGATATCTCATAGTATAAGGGCTATTCTTGTGAGCTAAGAGTACACAGTTGAATCTGTCACAGGCATCTATCGTGTAGGTAGAGCTCATGGACTGCTGGTCTAGACCGTATCACGTGACCTGTCTATTGTCTAGACCGTATCACGCGACCTGTCTATTGTCTAGACCGTATCACGTGACCTGTCTATTGTCTAGACCGTATCACGTGACCTGTCTATTGTCTAGACCGTATCACGTGACCTGTCTATTGTCTAGACCGTATCACGTGACCTGTCTATTGCCTAGACCGTATCACGTGACCTGTCTATTGTCTAGACCGTATCACGTGACCTGTCTATTGTCTAGACCGTATCACGTGACCTGTCTATAGTCTAGACCTATCACGTGACCTGTCTGTTGTCTAGACCGTATCACGTGACACGTCTATTGTCTAGACCGTATCACGTGACACGTCTATTGTCTAGACCGTATCACGTGACACGTCTATATCTAGACCGTATCACGTGACCTGTCTATTGTCTAGACCGTATCATGTGACCTGTCTATTGTCTAGACCGTATCACGTGACCTGTCTGTTGTCTAGACCGTATCATGTTTCCTGTCTGTTGTCTAGACCGTATCACGTGACCTGTCTGTTGTCTAGACCGTATCATGTGACCTATCTATTGTCTAGACCGTATCACGTGACCTGTCTATAGTCTAGACCGTATCACGTGACCTGTCTATAGTCTAGACCGTATCACGTGACCTGTCTAATATCTAGACCGTATCACGTGACCTGTCTGTTGTCTAGACCGTATCACGTGACCTGTCTACTGTCTAGACCGTATCACGTGACCTGTCTACTGTCCCACAGTGTTGGTCAGCGACAGTTGGTGTGTCTGGCGAGGACCCTGCTCCGTAAGACCAAGATTCTCATACTGGACGAGGCCACGGCCGCCGTCGACCTTGAGACGGACGAGCTCATCCAGAATACTATAAGGTCAGAGTTCAAGGACAGCACGGTCCTCACGATAGCGCACAGACTCAATACGATCCTGGATTACGACAGGTCAGTTTTAGTGGTCAAAGTGAGTAGGTCAGTGCTTGTAGGTCAGTGTTTGTAGGTCAGTAAACATAGGTCAGTAAATATAGGTCAGTAAACATAGGTCAGTAAATATAGGTCAGTGTTTGTAGGTCAGTAAACATAGGTCAGTAAATATAGGTCAGTAAACATAGGTCAGTAAATATAGGTCAGTGTTTGTAGGCCAATGTTTGTAGGTCAGTAAACATAGGTCAGTAAATATAGGTCAGTAAACATAGGTCAGTAAATATAGGTCAGTGTTTGTAGGCCAATGTTTGTAGGTCAATGTTTTTAGGTCAGTAATTGCGGGTTAGTGTTTGTAGGTCAGTGTTTGTAGGTCAGTGTTTGTAGGTCAGTGTTTGTAGGTCAGTAAACATAGGTCAGTAAATATAGGTCAGTAAACATAGGTCAGTAAATATAGGTCAGTGTTTGTAGGCCAATGTTTGTAGGTCAATGTTTTTAGGTCAGTAATTTCGGGTTAGTGTTTGTAGGTCAGTGTCAGAGGCGTATCCAGGTTTTCGTTGTAGGGGGAGCGAAAAGAGCAAAAAAAAGGCGCCGATTTTTTAACGCGTTCTATATACATGTATTATATATATATATATAGGTGTATTATATATATATATATAGGTGTATTATATATATATATATAGGTGTATTATTATATATATATATATATATATATATATATATATATATATATATAATTACTAGCTGTATGTCATTACTTCGCTATGATGTAAGATAAATTGAAAGTAGTACTCTGAAGAAATAAGAAAAAAAACACAATTTAGGCCGACAAAACAAAAATTGTATCAATCTAGAACAAAAACAACAAAAAAAAAATTCTACACACACTACAACCAAAAACAATGAACGTAACACAATCTGTTTTGTAATTCTTGTAAACAAATTTCTTACATAATAATTCCTGGGAAATTATTTAAGACAAGTGAAATAGGGGAAATAATCACTCTCTTAATATAAATATGTATATATCTACACATTTAATTATAAATGTCAAAACAAATAAATAATTACTTTAGAATATAATCAAATTGTTTAACACTATTCGTGTTTACAAAATGTTTTTGTCTATAATCATAATTTAATATATCGTCATCATAAATGTTAAAGTATTACAGCATAATGAAATTTTTTTAAATCATAGTTGGTATAAAACCATGCTTTTCGATATAATAGAGAACATTCGGAATAAAAGCCTACATTTAACTAAATATCCGTCTTTTAGATCAGATCATATATTTTAATTAACTGCTGCTTCTTTGTGTTCTTTAAAGATCATTTTAACATAGTGATAGCTGTGGGTTAGATCACTGTATTGATCACACACCTTTTTACTGGTAATTGCAAAAACAATATTCACAGAGTTTTACGTTTAAAAAGCTATTTTTTTTTGGCGGCATGGTACTTTGGTACATCACTACGCGTTTTTCTACATGTACTTAACAGATCAGTTCGGGGTGGGTTGGGGGGGGGTGTGGGTTCATCTTCATTCACCACTGTCCGGTCACTTTAGGTCAATTATCCAACCCAGTGTATACCTAGGTGTGACATTAATGTCGCTCTACTCAATTGTGGTAGTGTGATGTGTGGTTGGGGGGGGGGGGGGGGAAGATAACCAACTCAGAGTGAACATAGAGTCAGTTTTTAGATGACTGTTCTAAACATACATATATATTACACAAATATATATTACACTAATATATATTACAGAAATAGATTTAAATAAGTAGCAGTGGTATTATGACAATATTTTTTTTACAGAGGGGTCCATGGGGGAGGGGGGTTGTAACTGTTTCATATAATTTGTAATCGTAATCACTATCGCCCAAACTGTAAGAATACTACTACTTCATAGTGTTAACGTTGTTGACCTTGTCAAAATTTCCCCACCACTACGCAGTTTGCTCATCAGTAAATTTAAATAGAGGTGCCACATCAGTTGTATTTGTTTCTGTATTGTAATTTTTAAAAATTTTATCACACGATTCACACTGTATATATAAAGTAATTATGTGTGACGTTTTATGTATAACATTTTCTAATTCAATTATTCGTAAGCAAATACATTATACAGTTGCCTTAAACTTAACACCCCTCTTGCCAAGTGGTACTACCCGTAGAGGTTTTTTAAACATTGCAATGCATCGTAATGGTTATTTTTAGAATGGCAAACTGATGCAGCTGTTAATACGTGTTGTAAACGTAGACACTACTAGACTAGTACAATAATGCTTAATTTCTGCATGAAAAGAAATCTTGTGATTTACATACATGTGCCGACCAAAAATATTTTTTTAACAAATATCATTGTTTAAAACTTTGAGTTTAAAAAGTTTCCAAAAAGGCGCCACTTTGCTGAAAATGGCCAGAGGGGGAGCGGCCGCTCTCCCTGCTCCCCCCCTGCGTACGCTACTGGTCAGTGTTGTTAGTTAAGTGTATGTAGTTTAGTGTTTGTAGTTTTGTCGTTCAAAGTGTTATAAGTTACATTTAACTTTCTGTGTTTATGATCAAAAGTGTTGGTTAACAGTAGTAACTTCAACCTGAAACGTACTAGCTTTATACTTTCAACTATTTTATAACCGTAATGAGATATGAAATCACAATTTTCTCAAAATTAAATATTTTGAACAAACAGCGTTTGTCCTAGTTATGTGTGGGTTAATTTGCTGTTTAAATAAAATAATATTGTCTAATCTTTCATTAACAACTAAAATATAAACCAATAACCAATAAAAGAATAGATTATCTACTTAAGTATCGACTGTACATAATCTACAGCACTGCCTAGAAATTCAGTTTTTACTGACCTAATATTTTTTTTGTCTTCAGGGTGATGGTACTCGATCAGGGTTCAATCAAGGAGTTTAACTCTCCTAACGTTTTACTCGGTGACAAACATACGGTGTTTTACAGCATGGCTAAAGACGCCGGTCTTGTGTAGACAGACACATTTAAGACACGGGACTGGTGTAGACAAGACAGAGTTAAGACACGGACTGGTGTAGACATTACAGAGGTAAGACACGGGACTGATGTAGACGCGACACATTTAAGACACGGGACTGGTGTAGACATTACAGAGGTAAGACACGGGACTGATGTAGACACGACACATTTAAGACGCAGGACTGGTGTTGACATTACAGAGTTAAGACACGGGACTGGTCTAGACACGACAGTTTAAGACACGGGACTTGTGTAGACATTACAGATTTAAGACATGATCTAAGACATTCTAAAGACATGGGTCTTGTCTAGATATAACAACATAAACAATAAAGTCTTCTCTACTTACGACATGCTAAAGACCTAAGTCTCGCCTTGGTTCGTGAAAGATTTAATGACTGGAATTTTTACTTTGTAATGCGTTTTTTTAAAACTCTACAAATAGCATGATACGATGACACAATTATGTGAGAAATACAAGCTGAGTTCACCTGTACTTGTACAAAACATTTTATTATTTATTGTTGTGTGCAAGATAGCCATGTTTTAAATTTCCATTTTTTAACTGTACGCATCGCTTATATTTTTGTAGCCTTTAATATTGTTATTTCTTTGTATTTTATGTCATGAATAAAAAATACATTTTAAAATATCAAAGTTGTCTATTATAAAACTTAAAATTATGTTTTCAGAAGTCACTCGTGTACTATGTCAGATCGCGCTTACATACACTATACCTCACATAAATACATTTCTTTACCCCTTTTCTTCAATAGCTTTCTCTGCGACTCCAAAAGGTTAACATATTTCACACACTGTCGACCTTCTTCTTCGTTCTTAATTTTTAGTGTTGGGAGGGATCGAGCCTTATCTGCCAGAGGGTTTGAACTCGAGACTTTTTTCCAATTCATCAACCATGAGCTTTGCCACTCGACCATGCTTCCATCACAATTAAGGATTACGTGTCAACTGGTTATGCGCCATTGAGGCCATTGACTCCGATTTCAGCCTGCTTTTCTTTTTGGATTTGCTCCCATAGCCTTTGTCCAACCAAGAACAAACTACAAGACAGCAGTTGTTTGATTTTTGGGGTTGTCTCCCCAGCTAACGAGCCTCATCTGCCAGAGGGTTCGAACTCGAGACTTTTCGGTTTAGCAACCATGAGCTTTTCCGACTCGACCACGCCGACCCCCTTACACACTGTCGATGAATCCCCTAATAAAATTATCTACTATTACCAACACCCTACATTTACGTTTAGCCAATATTATAGACATCAGGGTTCGCATAATACCCCACACCCCTAAATATTTTTTTCTCCCACTTCTAAGCCCAGTTGTGTACGTCAAGCTAGCCTCGAACCCCCGTCCTTTAACGGCTTCTGCAGTTTTCTTACCCTAAGCCTCTAGCCTCGAACCCCCGTCCTTTAACGGCTTCTGCAGTTTTCTTACCCTAAGCCTCTAGCCTCGAACCCCCGTCCTTTAACGGCTTCTGCAGTTTTCTTACTCTAAGCCTCTAGCCTCGAACACCCGCCGTCTGAAGGTGTCTCCCATTGTCTTGCTCTAAGCCTCGTCTAACGTGATAAGAAAATTGCGTTTCCTTTCAATGACTTCTTGGACATCCGCGCAACCATTGTGCCGGCAATATGCGGCACAAAATTGCTTTTCATCCACTTTTCTCCCCCCCCCCCCCGCCACCCCCTCCCCCCCCCCCCAAGTTTTTTGTACTTTAGTAAAAATACTTGGACAGAGAGAGGTTTTGTGTTTTAGAATTTCGTAAATCAATAATAGGCTTGGAAAGCTGGTTCCAAATGGCTGTTGCCAGAAAGCATATTTTTCAACCAAAATTGAATATTTTATAACATTTGATAAACAAGTACAAAATACTTCCGGTTTTTAAAAAGGCTAGAAATAGTCAAACAAATATAATAGTAATTTAGCAAACACTTTTATTTTTTTTTATTTGGATTAGTAAAGTCAGGCTTTTGTGGTTGAAACAATTGTTCTGACTTTCATTGTTTTATTTTCCCTGGCCACTCCGGTTGACTTCAAGGAGGCGTTCATGATGTTTTTTTAAAATATTTGAATTGATAAAATAATTCAAAACGGCTTTCAGCAGCTTATATTCAATATGCCAATGAGAGTAATCGATGAGTAATCGATGAGTAATCAATGATTCCCAAACGGCTTTAATTTTTTTTAAATGTAACTATAATTTTATCACTTTTTCAAAGATTTATGAAAAAAATTGTATGATTACATCGCTTTTTACAAATGTATTGGAGGTTTTTTTTATATCTCCGGTAACAGAATGCTGCTAATGTCAATGCTAACCTTAACCCCAACCCTAGTCCTATCAAACGCCTAACCCTAATTTCTAACCATAGAACTAGTCGAGATTACAATACTACTTTCAACCTAACACGCCTATTTTTGAGAAAGTCTATTATCAGTATCTTCAATCATTATTAACTTTGTGATATATGGTACATTTAGAGACTATCAGGGGAAACAACTGCAACAAAATTACTAATATACATTGAAGATTAAAAAGAATTATATGTATAAAGAAAATAAATAAATGATTATGATTTATTAAAGCAAATTTAATAATAGTACTTAAAATATATTTAAAGAAATTATTAGATATATTAAAAATGTATAATATTATTAAATTTTTCACTAAAAATCAAACAAACAATAACTTTAATTTTACACCAAAAACAATGTTATAAACAATTTATTACAATTTATCATAGCACTACTTCGTTAATCTGCAACTGTATAAGCCTACCTTTATATTTACAAAGAGCCCTCAGCCCACCACGCCGTTGGGGAAAAAAATTCCCTGGAACCATCATTTAATAGCACATTTGCATTTTAAAAATAAAATTGTAATTAGACGTTTTGTATTTGATCTATGTATAAGTAAACCATCTAAAATGAATGAAAGTAGGGTACACGTAAGAAACAAGTTAATAAAAAGTCTAGTGACAATTTAAGCGCAATTTCCTTAATTAATTTTTTGTGACCGAACGAAAGGATATTTTTGAAAACTTTCTTCGGCAATATTGTTCTAAATTATGGCAGGAATCGATTGGTAAATGTTTCAAGTCGCTAAGCGGTCTGGTTGCCGAGATAAGGGCCAAAAACTGCATTTTTTTCGAGGTTTTTTGGCTTTTCCGGGAAATCCAGGAAGGAATTCCGGAAATTTTTTTGGCCCACAATCATCCTCGGAACTTGCTTTACATATTTGCTTTGGAACTAGTCCTTGATATTGCTTCGTTGAGGAGGAGATAGACTTAAAGCTGCGCACATCCATCCAGAAATGACGAGTTAATAATCGCAATTGTCCAGTATGGAAATTGCGCTAAAAAGTATTATAATTGTAAATCTGTATCATTCCTCACAAGCCGATGATGAAAACTGTAATACTAAAGCGAACATGCAAGGCAAAACTGACGCAGTAAATTACATGTCTGAGGCGAAAAAAAGTTATTTACAAGGATACAAATATAAATAAAATTATAAGCATTAAAAGATCATATGCAAATAGGTAAAATCCAAAATAAAAAAAATAAATAAATAAAACGTTGACTCTGGTTCTTCAGTCGACGGAAAATAGAAATCTTTCTAAACTGATGTGTGTGTATTGATCCAATGCAAAATATGTTTAAAATTGTTCCTTAAACATTAGCGGGCGCATTGAATGTCAACTAATTTTACCTTGACTATAAATTATTTAGTTCTATCAATACAAACGTCAACCCATACATCTGAGCCTAGCTAATGAGGATCAGATTTATTAACTATACTCATCCTTACCCAGCATCAACTATACTCATCCTAACCAGCATTAACTATACTCATCCTTACTTAGCATCAACTATACTCATCCTTACTTAGCATCAACTATACTCATCCTTACCCATCAACAACTATACTCATCCTTACTTAGCATCAACTATACTCATCCTTACATCAACTATACGCATCCTTACCAGCATCAACTATACTCATCCTTACATCAACTATACCCATCCTTACATCAACTATACTCATCCTTACCAGCATCAACTATACTCATCCTTACATCAACTATACCCATCCTTACATCAACTATACTCATCCTTACATCAACTATACTCATCCTAACCCAGCATCAACTATACTCATCCTTACATCAACTATACCCATCCTTATATCAACTATACTCATCCTTACATCAACTATACTCATCCTAACCAGCATCAACTATACTCATCCTAACCCAGCATCAACTATACTCATCCTTACCCAGCATCAACTATACTCATCCTAACCAGCATCAACTATACACATCCTTACTTAGCATCAACTATACTCATCCTTACTTAGCATCAACTATACTCATCCTAACCCAGCATCAACTATACTCATCCTAACCCAGTATCAACTATACTCATCCTTACTTAGCATCAACTATACTCATCCTTACATCAACTATACTCATCCTAACCCAGCATCAACTATACCCATCCTTACATTAACTATACACATCCTAACCCAGCATCAACTATACACATCCTAACCCAGCATCAACTATACTCATCCTTACATCAACTATACTCATCCTTACCCAGCATCAACTATACTCATCCTTACCCAGCATCAACTATACTCATCCTTACATCAACTATACTCATCCTAATCCAGCATCAACTATAACCGAGTAAAGAACCTGAATAAAACTAGTATAACAATTTGCAATAGAGAAAGCACCAAATATAATAATTTGGGAGGATGGGGGGAGTAAAAATGAGGGAGAGAAATACGACAAAGACAGGAGGGAGTTGGATCGACAGAAGACAGATACAGTTGTTAAGCAACTGATATCGCACTGACAGTAGAAATTGTTTGAATGAAGAGTAAGATAAAAAATTTCTGATATCGTATATATATATAAATAAATATATATATATATATATATGTATATATATATATATATATATATATATATATATATATATATATATATATATATATATATATATATACATATATATATATATATATATGCATGGTGTGTACATTTTTATTTTGATGTAAGCTATTTATTACATGGTATATATGATATAATCGAACGCTTAAAGGCAACATTGTATAGATGTGTATTTATTATTTTATTCATTTAAATCAAAGAACACAATAATGAATTCAAAAGAACATAATTCTAAATGCAGTTTAACCAGCATGGAATTTCAGATTAAAATAACGTGCTTGCAATAAAATATATGCTAAAGATTGATTTCAAAATTGGTTTAATTAAATCTAAACACAAAATCTTGTATGTTTAAATCTTAAATGGCCTTTTGATGTAAATTTTTAAATAATAATTACAATTAAATCAATAAATATGATAATATATTGTTTATATTAACCAGTTTAATTTATGCACACATCTAATACAGGTTCATCTCATATTTTCTTATGTCATACAACGTCATCAGCATCATGTTGTATCTCCATTATATCTTTCAAAAATTCGCTTCTTTCGTCCCCTCAAAATTCGCTTCTTTCGTCCCCTCAAAATTCGCTTCTTTCGTCCCCTCAAAATTCGCTTCTTTCGTCCCCTCAAAATTCGCTTCTTTCGTCCCTTCAAAATTCGCTTCTTTCGTTCCCTCAAAATTCCCGTATATGGTCCCCTTAAAATTCCCTTATATCGTCCCCTCAAACTTCATTTATATCCTCCCCACACATCGACCATCCCATAGACCTACATCTCCGCTGCTCATCAGCTAAAAGCTTGGGTTTAAGACGTGGCGACCGTTTCCTGAACTTTCTAAACTTCATTTGTTATCCCAGCATGTTGACAGCGGTCAATACCCCACCCCCACCCCCGGGCTTACAGTTCCAGGTCTCCCTCAACACACCCGCCCCTCCCCCAACCTCTACCAGTACAATGAAACCATTTTGTTGCCCTTTCATCTTCCGCCCTGCTGTCATACCACAATTGCTATTTATAACTTTGCCATCCTTTCTTCATCCGTCTCTCGCTTAGGTTTAGTGCAGTGTATCAGCGAAATAAGTTAATGGCATCTATACATAAATGTAAGCGGAAGTTGTCAGCATACGACCTTCACCCTGTGTATAGATACAATGTCGTCATGCCTGTGTTAGCTGTGAGTGATGTCTGTAGCGTTTTAGCTTGTTTTAGCGTACTTTCTCTCGCTATTCTTACACAATCTTGTTTTTCCTCGTAATCTCGGTATTCTAACCTCACTCCACAATAAACTCCTCATTCTCTCTCTCAATGACGTCATTCTCTCGCAATTTCGACTTTTCCCGATATTTTTTTAATCTCACAAAACCTATGAAATACGCTAGTTGGTATTACAGTAACTGCACTGTACACAACAGAAATAAAAACTAAAAATACAATTTAAAAGAATATTGGCATTATAGCATAAAAAAAACAACTGTAAAATATGTAAATTAGAATAACCTACATTTTGATTACACATGTGAAGATACTTTAATATTAATCACTTGACGACTTTCGTTCCTCTACAAAGTGTTACATGTAATTTAATACTTCAACTGACATGATCGAAACAATGTAATTATTAATCGTAATTAAAACGTTATCATACAATAAAGCTATTTTAAGAGATCATGTATGGGGAGTCGCTAAGTGAATAGCATAGCATAATGAGTACACATTCAGGTTAATGACCTTAAGAACGACTTATGGAATAACCAGGAAATGGCCAACATTCTATGTGGTGAAGGTGCATACTTTGGCATAAAATACATTAGTTTGGTATTAACATGTATGCTTATATAATAATATTTATTAATATAATAATATTTTGAACAGAAATATAAAAGCTCACTAAATGTTGAATTAATGATAAAAAACAAAGAAAATTAATCACTCGATGTCATCATCATCTCCTTCTTTTTATCTCCATTACTACCACCACCACCATCATCATCATCATCATCATCCTTATCATCATTACCACCACTACCATCATCATCATCATCATCATCCTTATCATCATTACCACCACTACCATCATCATCATCATCATCATCCTTGTCATCATTACCACCACTACCATCATCATCATCATCATCATCCTTGTCATCATTACCACCACTACCATTATCATCATCATCATCTTCATCCTTATCATCATTACCACCACTACCATCATCATCATCATCATCATCCTTGTCATCATTACCACCACTACCATTATCATCATCATCATCTTCATCCTTATCATCATTACCACCACTACCATATTCATCATCATCATCTCCATCACCTTCATCCTCCTCCTCCTTATCATCATTATCAATAACAACAACATCAACATCATCATCATTATCTTTTCCCTTTTTGCGTCCAAAACACAAAAGCCGTTACCGAAAATTATTTCCATTTTCGCCTGTCTCTAGCCATTATTCTGGCAGTCCCCCAAGATAGTCTTTCCTCGATCAGATTTTTTTCCTCTGTGTGTGCTTCCATGTCTCCATTGACCTTCGCTGTTTTTGACGACATCTTGCACGATTATCCCTTATTACAATATTCCTTTTGCAGTTGTCAGAATTCACGCACACAGAGGTTTCGGTAGATATTTTTGTCAGCGTTTCTTTCAGGCTACACCACACGCAAGCACGTCCAAAGACCTCCGGCCCCGTAAGAAATACAAAAATATATAATTTATATTGAAAATATATACTTTAACCAGTGCCCCCGCCCCCTACCCTGGAAATTTAAAAGACCCCATCTTCCAGAAAACATGTCTGAAAGAAACCTCTTTCTTAGTGATTTGCCGCACCCAAATATTCGCACGCAAAACACACATTCTATTGTTATTGTACTTTTTTGTTGTGGCCTAGAAAGAAATTATATTCCGTGTATTCCACATACGCCAGCTTGCATTTAAAAAGTAAATCAATAGTTTTCAAAAAATCGAATCTTACAAGTCACATGATTACTTATCAAAGGTTTAACAGGCGTTCGATATAATTGTACATATCACTATAATTGTACGACTAAATGCATAATATACATGTACGTATCAAATAAACATGTCTAGGGGTCAGATCCGGTTGACCTGTGTTGACCTCTGACCTCGAGAGAACTCACAGTTATTGTAATGAAAACAGAACAAGCACTATCGTGGTGGACATGACGGTGATGCCGAGAAAAGTCCAGAACAACAGCGTATCCACGGCACTGCCCACGTCCATCCACGTGATCAGCGCCCAGTCGTCCATATCCGGCGCGTCATCCGCTTTGTGTTCAAACAACGACAGGTGCTCCGCGCGCACCGTCTCGTCATCAAGATGGCGCTCGTCTATTTTGGTCTCCGCGGTTTGGGAGTTATTTTTAGACAGCTGCGAGGTCGGGAAAACCCGTAAGTTTTCCCCTTCGTAGCCGGGTTGTCTTTTCCTGCCCGTGTCGCCGTTGCTCCAGTACGCGCTGCTGTCGGAGTAGGCGTCGTTCTGGTGGGTGCCCTGACCCCGACCCACGCGGAAGCTGGGGACCCGCCGTCGGAAGATGCCGCGCTTCATCTGGCGTCGGATCTGTCGGCGTCGGCAGCAGACGAGACACTTGAGGAAGGTGGGGACGGGCTTGTCGGTGTCCTGGTGGATCATGTTCATCACGACGCCAGACGACAGCACGGACATGGTACTGAGCGACAGCAGGGTCGTCAGGTACACGGCTGGTAGGGGAGGGTGGGGTTAGAGAGAAAGAAATATTTTTTTTATTAATTTAACAACATATATCAGTGTGATGACGCAAGATTGAAATATAGGTCATAGATAAAGAAGAGGTAGCATAGCGTAGGTCAGCTAGACATGGGTCAAACAGAACCAATAGAATTGCAGTGCAACGAACTGACCATTCACGTGAGACGATCAGCTGACCGTGTCAGTTCGTGCCGGAACAAATTTATTGGCTTTTTTCTAAAAATGTCTGTTTATCGTAAGGGCTGTGTTACAAGCTGTAGGAAACGTGAATAAATCAACTAGCAAACCTACTTTAGTGCACTGAAAGGTTTGAATATTTATTCACATTCAAAACAGGCCTGTTAAAATAGGTATATACGTTTAGTGCAGACTTATTCAGAGAGGTAAATAATCGAATTACGTTTACAAGAGACAGATTCAGAAGGAAATAATCGAATACGATCAGGGCAGTCTTATTCGAGAGGTAAATAATCGAATAAGTTGAGAACAGACTTATCCGGAAAGGCAAATAATCAACTAAATTCAAACCGATTTGCTTTGAAAGATAATTATTCGATTACGTTTACAACCGACCGCTTCAGACAGATACATAATCGAATACGTTTAGAACGTACAATGGGATACGTTGAGCTCAGAGAGCTTAATACCACACTAGTGTTGGAATAACATTTAGGTTTTCTAACTTAAAAACAAAAACATTTTGGAGTTGAGTATAATTAATGTTGGCATATTTCCATTACATTCCCAACGACACTGGAAATGCTTCAGTTGATAACAGCAGAAAATAACAACTTTCATTCTCGAACAACTGAAGAAGCATACAGTTGTAATATAATAATAATTATATATATATATATATATATATATATATATATATATATATATATATATATATATATATATATATATGTATATATCTATATCTATATCTATATATATATATATATATATATATATATATATATATATATATATATATATATATATATATATATATATATATATATATATATATATGTGTGTGTGTGTGTGTGTATCTTTTATGCATTATTACACCTTTCATCCATATGCTGTGAAACTTTGGGAAGTTGATGAGAATGCTTCTTGGAAGGTTTATTGCGAAAAAAAAAATGTCTTGGTGGTGCATTATTATTGGTCCAGAGTTTTCCAGCATCTATCCTAACACTCGGCATTCAGCACAGGGGTCAGGGGTCATACTAAATTCATTGGTCAAAGTGCACCAGGCACATTCGCGGCGTTCCCCCCTAAATTAGTTTTAAATAACGCTTACACTAGGGATACAGCGGGCTACTACAGTCGATGACAAACTAAATGGAACCAAAATGTTATCACGTCATCAGTATGGTTCAGGGGTTGGCAACTTTTTGAGACGGAAGAGCTAAAAGTTACAATCTACAAAATTTCCCAATTTTTAAAGAGCCACTAACATTTTTATGTGTACTTCGGTATAGAAAGCATGGAACCATTGCCATTGGGGCACGGCTGTTGGGCTGGGCCTAATGCCCAGCGGCTGTCAGCTGTCCATATACGCTCTACTGAGTCTACTCCACCTATTCTCGTTGTTTTTTTTATTTTGTTTAATTTATTTGTTTGTTTTTACAGTATAATATTTTTGAGATTTGAAAATAAAGTAATATAATTATTACGGAACTGGAGAGCCGCTACTTGACAACAAAAAAGCCGCATGTGGCTCGCGAGCCGCAGGTTGCCGACCACTGGTATAGTTGGTACTATAATTTGATGTCGCTGTTGACTGCTTTGAGATATTATACAGTTGTGTGCTAAACTAGACACAAACAATAAACTACTTGATTAAAAAAATAAACACAAACAAATGTTAAATTAGCAGCTCTAATATGTTGGATGGTTGATGTGGGAAATCTAGCTATTTCAATAAAATAGTTAAATCAAATTTATTCAAGGGAAATAACCTTCAACTAAATTTCAATAACTCGTTTAAAGAACAATTAAACTGAATTAGATAAGTGAATTTATTATTTACTATTCAATTTAATATAGATGCTAAGTTTTTAATTTAATTAGTTGTCTCATTTTAATATAGCACGAAAGTTTAGAAAAGAAGTGTAATTGTAAATCAAATATAAAACCAATGACGGATTTAAATAAATCTGTTGTACACAAATGGAAGTGTTTAATCTACATGGGTTACTGATGGTGTATAGCTTCAAACTATTAAAGAAAATTCTATCGCAATAATATAATTAGATCTATGTATAAGTAAACCATCTTAAATGAATGAAAGCAGGCTACAAGTAAGAAAGGAATATTACTATTGTAAATCTGTATCAGTCCTCACAAGCCGATGATGAAAACTGTAATACTAAAGCGAACACACAACTGACGCTATAAATTACGTATAAAAACGACCTTCTCTAAGGAAAAATCGTTTGTTCTATAGCTTGGGTCGGATAACGAGTTAAATTTGAGATATTAAAAGTTAGTTATTGAAAGAATAAATTTTTCTTTTGTGCTTCCTCGAGCTATGCAGGTTCTTGTGATGACTGACAAAAAACGTGGGTACGTTCACCATCAAATTTCCCGACCCATCTGCCCGACCCACGTTTTTTGTCAGTCATCACAAGAACCTGCACAGCTCGAGGAAGCACAAAAGAAAAATTTATTTTCTACTTTTTAGTCCACAAGAAAAACGTGGTTTTTTAAAAAGTTTTTTTTAAGTATTTTATTTTCTCCTTTTTAGTCCGTTGCTACACATGAAAAACGTGTTTTTTTAAAAAAGTTTTTCATATAGTTTATTTTCTACTTTATCTAATGACTTGATTAAGTATGACTTGACTAAGTGTTTATAAATACACGGACTAAAAATCTTGAGCGACCAGGATTCGAACCTGGGTTGTCGCGGCCACAACGCGAAGTACTAACCACTATACGATCACGGCCAGCGCGCTCACATCGATTGGGGCCGAAGTAACTGTGTCAATAGGCCTCCAGTCTTGTCGGTATCTTTAGAAATCATGTCCTCAATTTTATGGTCCTTGGGGCGTAATTAAATTAAGCTAATTACGGTCTCTAATTGCTAGTTTTTATGATTGCATCTGAAATTGTTAGGCGAAAGTAGCCTGCATGCCAAATTTCAGATCTCTAGAGCAATCAGAAGTGGGCTAATTTTCGATGTCAATTTTAACAACAAACACATCCACGCGAAGCTGAGTTAAGAATAAAATACTTAAAAAAAACTTTTTAAAAAACCACGTTTTTCTTGTGGACTAAAAAGTAGAAAATAACTATTTACATACATTTGATGACAAAAAACGTGGGTACGTTCACCATCAAATTTCTCGACCCATCTGCCCGACCCACGTTTTTTGTCATCAAATGTATGTAAATAGTTATTTTCTACTTTTTAGTCCACAAGAAAAACGTGGTTTTTTAAAAAGTTTTTTTTAAGTATTTTATTTTCTCCTTTTTAGTCCGTTGCTACACATGAAAAACGTGTTTTTTAAAAAAGTTTTTTATATAGTTTATTTTCTACTTTATCTAATGACTTGATTAAGTATGAATTGACTAAGTGTTTATAAATACACGGACTAAAAAAATCTTGAGCGACCAGGATTCGAACCTGGGTTGTCGCGGCCACAACGCGAAGTACTAACCACTATACGATCACGGCCAGCGCGCTCACATCGATTGGGGCCGAAGTAACTGTGTCAACAAGCCTCCAGTCTTGTCGGTATCTTTAGAAATCATGTCCTCAATTTTATGGTCCTTTGGGCGTAATTAAATTAAGCTAATTACGGTCTCTAATTGCTAGTTTTTATGATTGCATCTGAAATTGTTAGGCGAAAGTAACCTGCATGCCAAATTTCAGATCTATAGAGCAATCAGAAGTGGGCTAATTTTCGATGTCAATTTTAACAACAAACACATCCACGCGAAGCTGAGTTAATAAAAACGTGTTAATAAAATACTTAAAAAAAACTTTTTAAAAAACCACGTTTTTCTTGTGGACTAAAAAGTAGAAAATAACTATTTACATACATTTGATGACAAAAAACGTGGGTACGTTCACCATCAAATTTCCCGACCCATCTGCCCGACCCACGTTTTTTGTCATCAAATGTATGTAAATAGTTATTTTCTACTTTTTAGTCCACAAGAAAAACGTGGTTTTTTAAAAAGTTTTTTTTAAGTATTTTATTTTCTCCTTTTTAGTCCGTTGCTACACATGAAAAACGTGGTTTTTAAAAAAGTTTTTTATATAGTTTATTTTCTACTTTATCTAATGACTTGATTAAGTATGAATTGACTAAGTGTTTATAAATACACGGACTAAAAAAATCTTGAGCGACCAGGATTCGAACCTGGGTTGTCGCGGCCACAACGCGAAGTACTAACCACTATACGATCACGGCCAGCGCGCTCACATCGATTGGGGCCGAAGTAACTGTGTCTATAAGCCTCCAGTCTTGTCGGTATCTTTAGAAATCATGTCCTCAATTTTATGGTCCTTGGGGCGTAATTAAATTAAGCTAATTACCGTCTCTAATTGCTAGTTTTTATGATTGCATCTGAAATTGTTAGGCGAAAGTAGCCTACATGCCAAATTTCAGATCTATTGAGCAATCAGAAGTGGGTTAATTTTCGATGTCAATTTTAACAACAAACACACGCGAAGCTGAGTTAATAAAAACGTGTTAAAAACGTGTTAAAAATTAAACTCAGCGATGTATAAAAACTCTATGTCTTGATCATCAGTACACTGTCATGTGATTTGTCAACACAGTCCTGCCTTGATCGATGTCTGTGATTTAGTGTTCTGTGTGATTTATTGTTCAGTGTGATTTATTGTTCTGTGTGATTTATTGTTCTGTGTGACTTATTGTTCTGTGTGATTTATTGTTCTGTGTGATTTATTGTTCTGTGTGATTTATTGTTCTGTGTGATTTATTGTTCTGTGTGATTTATTGTTCTGTGTGATTAATTGTTCTGCGTGATTTATTGTTCTGTGTGATTTATTCCTTAATCTCAAGTCACCGAGACTAGATGAATATGATCATCTCACTAGGTCGCCATTTTTATGGTGTAATGAGCCGGATATCGTGATTACACTTCCCAGCCTGCATACATGTACGCATAGATAGCTGCGCATGCGCATGTTAATGACGTCATTTCCGGAATGCATCCTTTTCAAACACGGCCGTTAACAATTATTTCAATTACATGGCTAAATTTCCGCGGAAAATTTTTGCGGATGTTGACATCACGATGTTGACATCACGATGTTGACATCACGATGTTGACATCACGATGTTGACATCACGATGTTGACATCACGATGTTGGGTCGGAAAAATATGGATGTGTGGTGTGTTTTTTTTGCAGAAGGAAACCAATTCATTTTGTCCTTAAATGCGATCTCATTATGACGTGTTTTTCTACGCTCAATTTTCGTCGCATTTTCGTCGTTTTTTTTTTTGTCTTTTTTTTTGTCCAGATGAAGACATGAGAAATGTCGTACAGGATACTCAGGCCGTGTAGGTTAAAAGTCAAGTTTCCCCGTGCCCGGGATGAACTAGATGCATGACAAACTCGCGTGGTGCTGACGTTAGTTTAATTATTAGAAGCGGGTCTGATTGCAATGTCGTCACATTATCAAGGTTAAAGAATGTTATTAGTTAACACAATCATTGAGGTTAAATACTGAGGTTAAGTACCCTAAAATCCGCGTTGAAATGACCCTCTGTTTTTCCCATAAAATACAAAGATTATATAGGGAAATACGACTGGTCAGTTTTGACCCCTTTACGAAGTTTTCCCAGATATGCCGAGTTTTTTGTGACACCCCAAGGCGTTCTCCTACCACCTCACAAAATTTCAAGGTGGGTCGTCGGAGGAAATTTTTTTTCGTAGTAGATCTCATATAAAGAGAATTTCACTCGCGGTCACTTTTTAGCCCTCGTTGAGGGCTTTGAGTGAGACCGACAGGTCTGCCCTACGGCCAAGCCATTTACCTATAAACATGCCAAAAATTAGCCAGATGTAAAGAGGGTAAGTGCCCTAAAATCCGTTTTGAAATGACCCTCTGTTTTTCCCATAAAATACAAAGATTATATAGGGAAATACGACTGGTCAGTTTTGACCCATTTCCCGATTTTTCCCGGACATGGCGAGTTTTTTGTGACACCCCAAGGCGTTCTCCTACCACCTCACAAAATTTCAAGGGGGGTCGTCGGAGGAAATTTTTTTTCGTAATATAGCCCATATAAGGCGCCGGTCAGTCGAGGTCAGTTTTGACCCCCTCTCCGTAGACTTTTCGGCCAACCGTCACCGGCCCTCGTGTTCTATCGCCCCAAGGCACCATCGTGCCAAATTCGACGCGCCTGCGGCGCCGGGAAGTGCCCTATCGGGCACTTGACCACTTTGCTTTATATATATAAGATAATTACATGGCCTAACATTGGCTTACTTACAACGGCTACTGACCTATTGGATTACTTACAACGGCTATTGACCTATTGGATTACTTACAACGGCTACTGACCTATTGGATTACTTACAAAGGCTACTGACCTATTGGATTACTTACAAAGGCTACTGACCTATTGGATTACTTACAAAGGCTACTGACCTAATATCGAGATGCTCTCCGATGTCTTGGGCATGACCTCGCTGATGATGCTGAGGTAGACCGTGAAGGACAGCAGGACAGTGACAGCCAGCGCCATCTTCTCGCCGGAGCTGGCGGGCAGCAGGAAGACAAGCACGTTGAGCAGGGACAGCATGACGACAGGGATGATGGTGTTGAGGACGTAGAAGGTGCGCTTCCTCATCAGCTCGATGATGAACTTCACCCCTGTGTGGGCTGGGGGGAGGGGGTCAAAGGTTGGTGGGTTACGTCATTTTTGTAAAGTGGTGGTACGTGTGATGTATTTAGTAAGTGTAGATAAGGAGGATATAATTGTAGTATATTTAGTAAATGTTGGTGGAGTTGTAGTTAACGTGGTGGTGTGTTATGTAACTGTTGGTGTGGGTTATTACAAGTATAAAGTGATTAGCCACTTTGTGTGTGGGTGGGGGTGGGGGTGTTCCAAGTAGATTTTTCTTTTTAATTGATATGGTTTTGTAACTGTGCCCTAAATAAGTAGGTAAAATGTGGTTTACCTGTGATCTACACACGCAGGTAAAAATATGGTTTACCTGTTGTATACAAGCAGATAAAAATGTGGTTTACCTGTGATATACACAAGCAGGTAAAAATATGGTTTACCTGTTGTATACAAGCAGATAAAAATGTGGTTTACCTGTTATCTATACACGCAGGTAAAATGTGGTTTACCCGGGATATAAAGGCAGGTAAAAATGTGGTTTACCTGTGATATACTGGCAGGTAGAAATATGGTTTACCTGTGATTTACAAGCAGGTAAAAATGTGGTTTACCTGTGCCCACCTTGTAGGTGGAGGGGTAGAAGTAAGGTCTGGCTATGGCTGACTTGATGTCCCACTCGCCGTTAGAGATAGTGGCGTCTAGGCTGACTAGATCTGAACCTGGCTGATGTACAGGTGAGTAACACAGTTTACACACGTTCTATGTACAGGTGAGTGACACAGTTTACACACGTTCATATACAGGTGAGTGACACAGTTTACACATGTTGAATATACAGGTGAGTGACACAGTTTACACACGTTTATATACAGGTGAGTGACACAGTTTACACACGTTCATATACAGGTGAGTGACACAGTTTACACATGTTGAATATACAGGTGAGTGACACAGTTTACACATGTTGAATATACAGGTGAGTGACACAGTTTACACATGTTGAATATACAGGTGAGTGACACAATTTACATACGTTTATATACAGGAGAATGACACAGTTTACATATGTTGCATATACAGGTGAGTGACACAGTTTACACACGTTCATATACAGGTGAGTGACACAGTTTACATATGTTCATATACAGGCGAGTGACACAATTTACATATGTTCATATACAGGTGAGTGACACAGTTTACACATGTTGAATATACAGGTGAGTGACACAGTTTACACATGTTGAATATACAGGTGAGTGACACAGTTTACACACGTTGAATATACAGGTGAGTGACACAGTTTACACACGTTCATATACAGGTTAGTGACACAGTTTACATATGTTCATATACAGGTAAGTGACACAGTTTACACACGTTCATATACAGGTGAGTGACATAGTTTACACATGTTGAATATACAGGTGAGTGACACAGTTTACACATGTTGAATATACAGGTGAGTGACACAGTTTACACATGTTGAATATACAGGCGAGTGACACAATTTACATACGTTCATATACAGGTGAGTGATACAGTTTACACATGTTGAATATACAGGTGAGTGACACAGTTTACACATGTTGAATATACAGGCGAGTGACACAATTTACATATGTTCATATACAGGTGAGTGATACAGTTTACACATGTTGAATATACAGGTGGGTGACACAGTTTACACATGTTGAATATACAGGTAAGTGACACATTTTACACACATTGAATATGGTTTAACCGTCAGTTTACATGTCATGTATCAGTGGTTTAACATATATCTTTGAACATTTAATCTAAAACCCACCTTCTACGCAGTGTAGCGCTATATGTTGTGGGCGTAAATTAAGTTCAATAATTACAGCAAAATAAAAACACTACAAACAAGAAATGGCCTAGCTCTAGAGAGCTAGACTGCTAATACGAAAGTCTCAAGCTCGAGTCTCCAGTCAATGCAGCTCGGACGGTACCTAACTCACGGTAGGAAAATCAAAGGCAGCTGGGTATAATTCTGACACACTACGCCGAAATATCTGAAACAGATGAACTCTACTTCATCTGCATAATGTATCTTGGGGACGAACGGGAAACGATTATGATAAATAATTAATATACAATAAATTGTAGGTCAAGAATTTGAATGTTGTTTGCGATCGCGTATATTGATATTACTCATTATTTCGAGTATTTAATGGTTGTCTGTCAAAGCACATTAACCTCTTAAGTCAGACTCTGTAGTTGAATCAAGTACTCATCTTGTCCAGTACACCAGTACTCACCTGCACGTCCAGGGTTTTGTTGGTATGCATCCAGGTGAGAAATTTGATCTCACACCGCTGGTAATCGAAGGGGTACTTGCCGATGTTGACCTCGCAAATGGTCTTGGTCAGGATCCCAGGCTCCCAGGATATGTGGCCATCGTCCTTGATGCTCACCAGGATGGAGTCACTTCCGATCTCGGCGAAGTTCTGAGCACTGCGGGAAATGACGCGATTGTGACGTGGGCGCTCAGGCGTGATGAGGGTGGAGTGGAGCGGGTGACACGTGACATTGTGTGATGGAGTCGGGTAATAAAGTCTGGGACCTAGACGCTGCTTTAATTCGATTCCAGACCGTTATTGACCTACTTTATTTTGTTTCGTTTTCTTTCAATTTTAAACACTTTAAAAAAACTTGCATCAATGATATTGCATTTTCTATTACTGTTTAGAAAAATTCAGTTGAAATATATTGTAACTACGTCAACCTCTATTGTGGGTCTGTAAGCAAAAGAAAATGTTTTGTGCACTGTTGCAAGCAGCTCAGTTGCGCAGAAATCAATTAGTGACACGTCAAAACCTGGACGTGACGGGACACACGTGACAGCGGGAATAAAGACGTCAGGTATCTTTACTTAATCCAGACAGACAGATAGATAGACAGACAGACAACATTTCTTTTTACAGACAGACGATTTGTCCCAAGAGGGAGAGAAAGGGTGGTGATCTAGTGTATGCGATGTATGCTGACAATACAAACTGAACATACAAACTGAATATACAAACATAACATACAAACAGGACATACAAACCCAACGTACAAACAGAACATACAAACTGAACACACCAGACACAGAAATTCACTAACATATGTATTTTCCAACAGGATGTTCGGATACCATACAAGCCATTGGCCAGACAGGAATGTGGTCGCTATGACAAATAGTCAGACACATGGCCAGTCAGGCAAGTGGCCAGACAGACAATGGCCAGATATCAAGTGACCAGACAAACAGACAAACAGACAGACACCGACGTACGTGTTCTTTACCAGAATGTCCGGCAACCAGAGAAACTAACAAACAAACAGACATACAAACAAACAAACAAACAGACAGACAACGTACGTGTTCTCCACCAAGATGTCCGGCAACCAGACAGACAGATAGACAAACAGACAGTCACACAAACAGACAGACAAACAAACAGACAAACAAACAGACAGATACCGACGTACGTGTTCTCCGCCAGAATATCCGGCAACCAGACGGACAGACAAACAAACAAACAAACAGACAGACAAACAAACAGACAGACAGACAACGTACGTGTTCTCCACCAAGATGTCCGACAACCAGACAGACAAACAAACAAACAGACAAACAAACAAACAGACAGACAACGTACGTGTTCTTCACCAGAATGTCCGGCAACCAGACAGACAAACAAACAAACAGACAGACAACGTACGTGTTCTCCACCAGAATGTCCGGCAACCAGACAAACAAACAAACAAACAAACAAACAAACAGACAGACAACGTACGTGTTCTCCACCAAGATGTCCGGCAACCACACGGCGCTCTGGCTGACTATGATCTCCTCCACACCGCCGTAGTCGCTCTTGTTCCAGCGGAGAAACTCGTCCTCCCAGTTCTGTTACAGGGGTCATAATGTTTAGAGGGGTCGTAGTGATGATAGGGGTCATAGTGATGATAGGGGTCATAGTGATGATAGGGGTCATAGTGATGATAGGGGTCATAGTGATGATAGGGGTCATAGTGATTAGAGGGGTCATAGTGATGATAGGGGTCATAGTGATTAGAGGGGTCATAGTGATGATAGGGGTCATAGTGATTAGAGGGGTCATAGTGATGATAGGGGTCATAGTGATTAGAGGGGTCATAGTGATGATAGGGGTCATAGTGATTAGAGGGGTCATAGTGATGATAGGGGTCATAGTGATTAGAGGGGTCATAGTGATGATAGGGGTCATAGTGATTAGAGGGGTCATAGTGATGATAGGGGTCATAGTGATTAGAGGGGTCATAGTGATGATAGGGGTAATAGCTATTATAAGGGTCATAACTATTATTGGGGTCATAGTAATTATAGGGGTCATTGCAACTATAGGGGGTCTTAGTAGTTGTTGGGGTCGTTTCAAGTATAGGGCTCATAGCAATTATATGGGTCATAGCAAATATTGGGGTCATAGGAATTATAGGAGTCATAGCAAATATAAGGGTTATCTTAATTATAGGGTTCATAGGTACCAAACTAACCCACTCTAAAAACTCGCACACCGATCAGAAACCATTTTTTTAACCTAGACTGTATGTAGGCCAACTGATTTCATTGTGCATACATTAACGTGCTTAATAATCTACTGGCGCCAGGAATGTATCAGTTGAAATATTATACATAACCTACGTTATTCACTGCTAGAGGTTAGCCAAAATGGCTAATGCCCATACGCCGAAGACACAAAAGGGCAAACCCGAGTAGGAGTTGTACGAACGCCCGCTAAACATATAACACCTATCCATTTTTTTCTGGCACATTTATGCGACAATAGCGAGAATATTTTGGCTAAAAATTTACCTAAAATAAATTTCGAATTCGTAAATTCAGACATCTTAGAGAAGTATGCTTGCATGATTATTGGCATAATTAATACAAGCATCTTTTATATCTTATACTTGCATGATTATTGGCATAATTAATACAAGCATCTTTTTTATCTTGTATTAAAATCAGCTTATCTAAAGAAATCATGAATTCTTAAAAGTTAGGAGGTATCGATACTCACAACGTTCAGCCACCCGCTTGTTGTGAGTACTTGATTCTTCATGTCCTGAAAAGTAATCGATACCATCTTTAGAAACAGACTATGCGATGCCAAGTTTTTCTATAGCTTAAGAAGTACATCGTTGTCTTCAATAAATTATGAGTTGTTTCCAAATGGGATCGATTTGAGATGCAACACATTTTTTTTTCAAACTTTAAAAGATGTTAACATTGTTGAACCCACGCACAAGATTCGGTCAATTACTTTTTTTTAAAGAATTTTTCTGTAGACTGAGGAACATTTCTCTTACAAATATATTTTTTGTGTGTACTAAAGTGAGGCGATTTGGTTTTTTCTTTCAAATGTTTGAATGGTTTGGTTGGTAGGTCTTGAAGTATGGAATGGCTGACATCCAAGCAAAAATGTGGACTGTGTCACTTGCTGTAAGATGTTGTATGACGTAAAGATATGAGGATAGGCCTTAAAATATGGTTGTTTTCAAATTTAGGTGTTCGGAAACTTGGTAGCATCAAACAGATGTAAAAAATAAAAAAAATATGACCTAGACACACAGTATGTCATATAAAAACTTTTTAATTGAAACAACTCTCAATTTTTTCTTTCTTATGTTGAAATTAAGGGCTTTACATACAGTCTCAGCACACAGGGTTTTACATACAGTCTAACCACAAATACAAGCAATTGACGGACAGGCAAAACGTGAAGAGGTGACATATAACCAACACGATCGTTTTTTGAAACACGAACAATGGTAGTGTGATAGAGCCGGCAGTCTGACATAAAATGAAGAACCGGAATGAGCCGGAAGAACCGGACTAGAGAGCCGGCTGTTTGAAATGGAATAATGAACAGGCACTGGAGCATTGAATAGAGTAGTTATTTGAGCAGACAAGGTTATGAATATAATAGAGTAAGTTTATTAATTAATGACACTATGATCAACAGAACAACAGCTTGACCAAACATTGATAGTATGACAAATAACTTGTCAGTCTGACAAAAGACATGACAGTCTGACGTACCAGATCGTGTATCATGAGCAGGAACAATGACAGTCTGACAAAAGACATGACAGTCTGTCATGACAGTCTGACATGGCAGTCTGACATGACAGTCTGACAAAACACATGACAGTCTGACATACCAGATCATGTATCATGAGCAGGAACAATGACAGTCTGACAAAAGACATGACAGTCTGACAAAAGACATGACAGTCTGACATGACAGTCTAACAAAAGATATGACAGTCTGACATACCAGATCATGTATCATGAGCAGGAACAACGACAGCTTGACATGGACTGCGTGGTTCTGCTGGTAGACAGGGGGGATCACTCGCTTGTAGTTGCTGAACAGGTCAGCGTGCAATCTGGCAACATCGTCCACAGTGGCGCTGTAACCTGCCAGATAAAACAGACGGTAACTTGCCAGATAAACCAGACGGTAACTTGCCAGATAAACCAGACGGTAACTTGCCAGATAAACCAGACGGTAACTTGCCAGATAAACCAGACGGTAACTTGCCAGATAAACCAGACGTTAACGTGCCAGATAAACCAGACGGTAACCCGCCAGATAAACCAGACGGTAACCTGCCAGATAAACCAGACGGTAACTTGCCAGATAAACCAGACAGTAAATTGCCAGATAAACCAGATATTAACTTGCCAGATAAACCAAACGGTAACCTGCCAGATAAACCAAACGTTAACTTGCCAGATAAACCAGATGTTAACTTGCCAGATAAACCAGATGTTAACTTGCCAGATAAACCAGATGTTAACTTGCCAGATAAACCAAACGGTAACTTGCCAGATAAACCAGACGTTAACCTGCCAGATAAACCAAACGGTAACCTGCCAAATAAGCCAAACGTTAACTTGCCAGATAAACCAACGGTAAGTTGCCAGATAAACCAAACGGTAAATTGCCAGATAAAACAAACGGTAACTTGCCAGATAAACCAGACGTTAACTTGCCAGATAAGCCAAACGTTAACTTGCCAGATAAACCAAACGGTAACTTGCCAGATAAACCAGACGGTAACTTGCCAGATAAACCAGACGTTAACTTGCCAGATAAACCAGACGTTAACTTACCAGATAAACCAGACGGTAACTTGCCAGATAAAACAGACGGTAACTTGCCAGATAAACCAGACGTTAACTTGCCAGATAAACCAGACGTTAACTTACCAGATAAACCAGACGGTAACTTGCCAGATAAAACAGACGGTAACTTACCAGATAAACCAGACGGTAACTTGCCAGATAAAACAGACGGTAACTTGCCAGATATACCAGACGGTAACTTGCCAGATAAACCAGACGGTAACTTGCCAGATAAACCAGACGTTAACTTGCCAGATAAACCAGACGGTAACTTGCCAGATAAACCAGACGTAGGCTTGCCAGGTTTAGGCATATATGTAGCCTTTGTTGCTTTGCATGACCGTTGAAGATGAAAGTACTTTATAAAAATTCGGCTTGTTTTGATTTGACTTAAACCTGTAATTAATTTGGAATTGTTACTTTCATTCACACCTCAGTCAAATATGTTTGGGTTAGGACTAGTGAAGTGTTAGTGTTGTAAGCTGTGTAATGTATACCGTTGTTTAAGACTACGATTGAGGTTATGATCATGTTTTAATGTAGTGTTATGTTTTAGATGAATTTTAACACATATTTATCATAATTTTTTCTCGATCGTGCCCAAGATACACAAGGACAAATGAAGTAGAGTTCATCTGCTTCTGTAACCCCTGTAAACATTGGGAATAAAGCACCATGCTAAACCGCCTTAGTTTCCCTAATTTGAGTCAGGTACCTATCTGAGCTGGGTGGACTCGATGAGACACATTACTGTAAAAATAATTTTATTAGTAAAACTTACAAGCAATACTTTTTAAATATTTAGTGTTGGGGGGTGTGAAAAACCATAGCGAGAGAATAATGTTTTAGTCTTGGTGGGAATAGAAACGTTGCAACAATAGTATTGGAGGGAGGAAAAAAGAATAGCTATAGAATAACGTCAGACTAAGCTATAACATTTTATTTTTATTTTATTTAGCCCATTGGAAAAAATGTGCTAAACCTGTCTTAGACCACTAGCAACCAGCCACAACAACCGTCAATCACGCCATCTATCCATGCATGAACCAACTCCATCCACGAAATATCCAGCATTCACCCACACGAGCCTCCCCACAATCCTACACAATCCCACACAATCCCACACAAACCCGCACAAGCCCACACAATCACACACAAGCCCACACAATCACACACAAGCCCACACAATCACACACAAGCCCACACAATCACACACAAGCCCACACAATCACACACACTCACACACACTCACACACAATCCAACACAATCCCACACAATCCCACACAATCCCACACAAGCCCACACAAACCCACAAAATCCCACACAAACCCACAAAATCCCACATAATCCCACACAACCCCACACAAGCCCACACAATGACTGACACTTCCGTCGGGTCATTCAATTCTCAATGGCGTCCAACAATTGCACAACTTAGCACTGCTGGGAAATTTGAAATCTTCACAACGTGGGGTAATAAAATCCGTCTAGTGAGGATCCTCTGGGAGTTAAATGTGGGATATCATTGTTTAGAATGTTCCAGACTGTTTAGAGATATGGCACCATGCTGGGTGTAAACTGGTGTTTTAGTCACGATATTTTTAGATGCGAGAGTGAACTGTTGGGGGAACACATTAACTTAGAAGTTGAAAGTGACAATATAGCTGAATAACTAAGGGTTATGAGGTCAAAACATGAATGTATCTTATTATTGAAAAAAAAGGTTTTATTTAAAAGCTGGAAGAGGCAATCGACACCATGGGTTGTTAACTATGGGGTGTGGGTTCGAAACTAGCATGTACCCTATAAATAAAAAAAAAAAGATTTATTTAGAAACTGGATTACAGCAGCTTGGTTAATTCAAATCCTATATTTGCCCTAGAACTAGAACAGCCCGGTATGAAGGTTTAACCAGTGTTTGACAACAGAGGTGACACTGTCAGTCATGATAACAGAGGCGATACTGTCAGATGTGACAACAGAGGCGATACGGCAAGAGAGAGAGTATGACAACATGACTATTAGTGATGCTTAAACAAACTAACTACACAGTATACGATAAAGAACTTCTAAATGTATTCACTTTTTAAATTTTTTATTCGTTTTGAACATTTTGTAACACTAGGTAGTAGATAGACATTTTCAATAATACGTGGGGTATGGGTGGGTCGGTCGTTTAACACGTTAAACCCCCTTTATGCACCCTCAAACTCATGTGTTGTGTTTAGCTAAAGCTTTAAACACCGTGTTGAACACAGCATCACTTTAAGCCCCACCCACTGCAAACACCAAGCTCTATAAACCTATGACATGCAAACTTTTCTTGACATTTGGGAAATTCCCGGTGTATAGCGGTCAGACAACGTAAAAACATATTGACATAAAAAACTGAATTATGAAGTAATGGTTCCAAAAGCAGAAGTCACGTGATGTTTTATCAAACATATCTGGCCAGATTTCAGCAACATTAGAGGCCAGCTAGCTCTCACACGTCTATATGGCGGTTTGTACATTCAGGCATGAGGATAGCATCTTCAGCTGGATGTTCAAGTTAATTAGCTGATCAATTAGCTGATTAATCTGAAAGGGGATTTAGTGTAAGTCGGGCATGGCGCAGTTGTAGAAAATATAGGGCAGGTTTGTTTATATGGGGAACGGGACGGATCTTATCTTTCATGTAACCAAGACATTACACGTAAAATATAAACATTTTCGATCTAAACTTTATACACATTCAAGATAATACTGCTGTAGATTAATGTAACAAAAGGAAATCTGTAAACAAAATACTCTGTAAAGACCAATTCGGGTTTATAAATAAGATGATGTTCAGAGAAGTTGATTTTAAATTATTCTATTTTGTAAGAACTGAACATAAATCAAGATCTAATGAATCTTACAATTTTTCGTTTTCGCTCAATTATCTTTTCTCTATTTTATAAAAACATTTTATTTTTATTTAAATGTTTTGTTAAGTTTTTTTTTAATTCTTTATACATAAAGGAAAATTTTAATGACATTTTAAACTAGTTAAATAAAAACTGATAATACAACTGAACTACTGAAGTCAAGAAATTTTTCACTATAAAATTGGATTCAAATGTTACCCATAAGCTATCATCAAGCACTAATATGACTTGCTATTGGTTAAAAATGAAAGATAGTGTCTACATAACTAACATAACAGTGAGTTCAATATCAGGCAGCATTAAGTACACAAAGGTAAAAATTTATTTTCAACTCACAAAACCATTTTATTAGAAATATTTTCCAGACAAGAATCGAACATAGGCACGCCTTGTTAAATATTACTATCGAGCCATCATGAACTCGAACACAAACTTCAACCATTGCACTTTTTTGCGTTAACCTATTTAAATCCCTAATTAAATCTTGGGCTTCAAGTTTTATGATTACTTCATGTCCAGCATAAACATAAACTAAAGCCATCACAGAATAAATTTGTCAAAGTAAAAACAAAAAGATGAAAAAAAAACTATGTATGACGTCAAATATATTGATTAATGATGGTAAAACAAAAAGTATATGTGTGACGTCAAATATTGATGATGTGGAAAAAAAAATTATGGCAATGCTAAATCTGATGATAATGAAAATAAATACAATGTATCGACGGTAATAAAAAGTAGGATGAAACAGAAACAAAAGGAACTGTGTGAGCGATTACCTGGCGGATAGATCGATACCTCCATGCTGCCTTGATCACGATCTCCGCTGAACTGTACCGTCGCCGCGGAACAATCGCATCCACATAAAAACAGTAATCGAATACACCAGGACAGAATGTTTTTTCCGTTCCTGCTGCGGGCGCGCCCGACGGAGGGCACCAAAGGGAGGGAGCACGTCGTCACGGTGTTGTCACGCACACACAAACACACACACGGACAGACATTTTTTTTTGTTGGAATTAGAAAAATGAAGTAAGATCAATAAATCACAACTTAATTCCATACGGACAAGACGAGGCAACAATTAATGTTTATGGGTGAAGGCTTAATGGAACTTTTATTTTTAGAACACCCCCAACCCCCTTCCAACAACCCCACCACTTTCTCTATCAGTTGTAAATTATCATGGACGGAAGCGACAATTTCAGCAAATAACATACCCGGGATATTCTGCGTTTAAATCTTACCGTCCGGAAACCCAGACAGACGCCGCTTACAGCGAGGCCAAATTTAAGGAAATAAGCAGAGCCAAATCTGGCCATAAGAAACTTGCTTCAAGGTGGCCAATTTTTAAAATTAAAATCTGGGCTTTTAAACTA